ACCAGAGGGGGGTACGGTGTAGGGTTATAACGGCAGGGGGTCGGGTGTGGATGTGGTGGGTGGTGTAGATGGGGAGGGACTGAGGGGTAGGGGGTGGTGCGGTAGGAAGGCCGTGTGGTGGCAGGCATGGTGTTGATGCTGGTAGGCGCCATGGTGCCTGTGGAGTAAGTCACCATGGGGAAACGTGGGAAGGTGTACTGGTAATACCCCGGGTGGGGGGGCATGGGGTGGGCAGGGTCGTAGATTTGGGTTTGGGGGATGGGGTGGGGCTGGGGGGTTAGGGAGGTGGGGTTAATAGGGCTGGAGGTGGCACAGGGTGGGGGGACAGCGTGGGGGATGTACTCGTAGATCTGGGGGTAGGGGTGGATGTGGTTGGGGGGGAGGGGGAGGGTTGGAAAGGGGGGTAGGGGTGGGGCTCGAGGGGGGCGACAACGCCGTTGGCTTGGACGGTGCTGTAGAGGATGTAAGAGGAGCAGTTAGTGAGGCAATATATGTAACATGTTTCATGTAACACACGTTTTGTTTATGTATACCTTTGAGTACTTATTGCTCACAACTCTTTGTTATTTATGTTGAACTTTGATTTAAGTTTACAGAGGATTCCGCATATTTATATCTGTATAGCCCATTTGTCAGCGCATTCTATACAGTTACCCGGCCTATACGATAGGCCGGAATAGCACTAATGGCGTCCCAAAGGGGAGGGGAGGGGAGAGGGGTATAGCAACGAGCATGATTACACTAAGACAAATAACGCACTCACGATCTCGTATGCCACAACTTTATTCCGAAAAATGTATTCATGGTACAGTACAGCTGCAATGCAATGTGAAACAGTCAGAATTGCCCTGACTGTTTCACATTGTGACGTCGGCTTAGTAAAAGACTTGGTTGTGTAAAAAGAGTCTCTTTACTCTGTATCTTATTACCTGGATGTCTAACCTTCACTGACGTACCAGACAATGAACCAGTGTTGTCTTTTTTTTGCCTTCTGTTTCTGACATTGTGTACGTATTTTTAATATAAAGGATTCTATTGATGCACACGACTGAAAGTTTATCTTATAACCTTCACCGACGTACCTGTAGGGGATAATTTCGACGGTTGGCGGGGGAACGTCGGGAGGGGTGCGGGACGTCTCCGGGTCGGAGGTCGCCTGTTCCACGTTGGGGTTCTGGGGGTTGTTCCGGTTGGCCCCGGTGTTGAGCGACTTCTCGTACAACCAGAACCACTGGCGCGCAACCTCAAACAGGACCTGCGAGATGCAAACAAAAAACAACAACATTATTATAGAATACATGGAATAATTTTCTATACAATAATAACTACTATCTTATATGTATGTGGACAGCACTAGTAAAGAGTACCTAGGTGTATTAGTAGTAGTATCCAGTCTTTGATAATGGCACAAGCCAAATGTTGACATGTTTACACTGGAACTACAGACATACAAACACATCGAAAACAAAACCTGCATGCATGGAAGCAACAAACAAGCAAACAAGAAAACAAACCTCTGCTATATATCTGTTAATGTTCAAGTGCACAAAGGCTCCAAGAAGAGTAGATTGCTGACTTAAAATATGCAAACCTTTGCTATATTATTTGTAAATGTTTAAGTGTATGTGGGCTCCAAGAAGGGAATACCTCAATGGAAAATGCTACTGAAGAGCCAATGAAGCAAACTTCTTCTACGTATTCTGTTAATGTTCAAGTGTACAAAGGCTCCAAGAAGAGTAGATTGCTGATTTAAAATGCTACAGTAACTGGAGAGCCAAACCAAGGAACAAACAAACTTCTACCATTATTCTGTAGATGTACAAGGGCTCCAGGAAAATTAAACTGTGAATGGAAAATGCTATTCAAGAGACAAATAAACAAACAAACAAACAGACCTCTGCGGGCACCCCGCCGCCCTTCGCTGCCCGCTCCACGGCCAGACATCCCTTCTCCAGCATCTCGAAGTTCATCTCCTTACACTGGACCAGCGCCCGCTGGATCTCGTTAGGGTTCAGGGCGTGGGCGTGGGGCAGGACGGACAGGGCCAGCTGGGCTGCAGCCTGGGGAGGGAAACATCTTTACTGACAGAAAAAAGTACTGCAACTTTCTACTAGTACAGCAATCTTCTACAATATTATCATCATAATGACAGACATGAGCGTGGGGCAGGACAGACAGGGCCAGCTGGGCTGCAGCCTGGGAGAGACGGCGTGGGAGAAATTTTAAATAACCTTTTCTTTGCAAACATGTGGTGTTGGTGGCACAACCGTTAGACTCTTACTGTCAATGGGTCCCAAGTTCGAAACTCACCATGTCCCAACGTCGTGCCCTTGAGAGCACTTTACACGACTTCCCTCCCTGTATGGTGGAGCGATGCCCATCAAGTCTCTTACGCTAATTTGTAAAAATGTGTGCCAAAAACACACTACGGATTTGATGTGCCAATGTGCCAACATCTGCACATTTGCCACCAAGAGTGGTAAAATATTTTTTCTTCGCAAAACCAAGCCTGAAGGCTAATTGTACTGTGTACAGTGTCAAAGTAAATGTAAAGTAATACAGTACATACAACTACTGTCTGGTCAACTACACATGTACAAGGTCAACTACACATGTCACTGACTAATGAAAAATCTAATGCATATTTCATCAAAAGAGGATGATATGCACCCAGTCTCTTGGAGCCCTGAGCCTACTGTACCCACCTGGACCATGTTGTGGTCTCTGGCACGAGAGGCGCGGTCAGCGAGCGATGCGACCTCAGGTGGGGTCAGGTGCCCCTCCCACTGTTCTACCAGCAGGCTGATGGCAGCACTGCCGATCTCCATCGCTTGCCCTACGAAACACGGGCAACAACATTATTAACAACTGTTTAAAGCATCCTACAGGGGAAACATATACTAGGTATAATCTCAGCAATACTCTTAATACTGCTCATTCAGCAGCACTGCCGATCTCCATGCCTTGGCCTACAAAACATGGGTAAAAACATTGTTAACAACTGTTAAAGGCATCCTACAGGGTACAGGCAAGGACAACTCCTCATACTTTGTACCATACCAGCTCAGAAAAGAACAAGAAATAGCCAGAGTTTAATCAACCAAGGATTGAGGTGTTCAAATACTCATTCTTTTCTAGAACTATCGCAGAGTGGAACTCACTGTCACCAAGTACAGTAGGGGCTTTATCATTAGATAGCTTTAAACACTGTTTAAAATTAGATGTTCAAGGGTTAGGTGTAACAAGTCGATTGGTATAATGTAGCCAGCTGCGGCTGTGCCGCGTGCCTGCAAAGTTGTGAAGAGATCTTTTTTTTACTTTTTACACGCTTATTCAGTCGATGTTCTGTCACCTTCCTAAGGGCAATTCTAACTAGTTCACATTGCGTAATGCTATAATAGTTGTAATACTGTTTAGTGTTGCAGTAAAACTGTTCCCTGCAATCATATAGATATGTATGCAGGAGTAAAACCCAGCCTACCTGTGATCCATGAGACATGTGAGGAGTATGTTCTGGACAGCCAGTTAGGAGACACACAGTTGTGGAGGCCCAGGGCGTACAGGCCGATCTCAAACGCACACATGTGCAGCGCACGGTGGGGACCCTGGGACAGAAAGACAACGTTAGGTCAGCATAAAACAAAGCCTCACTACAATTATTTTTATTTTTATTCTTCTTCTCAAATTTAAAAACAAAATCTTGGATTGCTGGATGATTCTATGATCCAAACAATGTTTCCCTTGCAACTGATTTTTTGTATCACAGTTCTTCGCTGATTCAAATGTGAAGATACTTTTTCAAAACTTAACACACATGCTGGAATCCCTACATTTCAACTTGCTTCACAAGAAATGTGAAAGAATTCTTTATACATTCAGCTGACACAAATCCCACAGTGATAAAGCATCCTGAGCTTCTATAGGCAGTTCTGAGAATGGGAATGGTTCTCTCCAAGTTAGAGGTATGGCCACAAGCTAGAGGGTGTGCATGGGGGGATCCCTACCTGCTGTCCTGACGATGCTGAAGGCTGTGTGAAGAGAGATGTACTGCTGTTTCCCCCAGCCTTGGTCAGCACAGTCTTGGCCAGCTCGAACATGTAGTGTGCCGATGCCTCGCTGGGGTGGTTAGGGATAGTGGGGACTGCTGTCTCATGTCTCCCCTTCTTACCCCTCCTGATGGCACTGTAGATGAAAAAGGAAAATATACAACAAGCAAACATTAGGAAAAAAATTAGGCTCAAAATACTGGGTGCATGTGCACCTTGGTGCACCCAAAATTGGAGTTGTGGTTCTAATTTTTTTTATGTGGGTACCCTGGTACACCCAAATATTTTTGAAGGTTTATATATTAAATGTACATGTACTTAGCATACATTTAATATAGTATCTAGTATTAGTAGACCTTATGGAATAACTGTACTGTCATTAAAGTTAAGTAAACATATTTTGTCACTAGCTGTTTGTGATCTTCAAACTTCAACTTTGTTTATTCAATATTAACATGCAGAGTCTGACATGACAAGACTGAAACATTCCCAATTAAGAAAAACTTGATCTCAATGACTTTCAATATTCTAGGAGAGACTAACTACAAAAACTTCACTAACTTCTCAACTCAAGGTTGATTAATTAACTTTACGAGAAGAATTACAAAGAGAAAGAAAAATGAAGGAAACACACATACATGCTCGGGAGTACATACATCTCAATGGGTGGCATTTTGGGCCTGGCCCCCACCCCTCGGTCCCCGGAGCTACTGGAGGCCACCGAGTCACTGGACTTGCCACTGGTGGATCCGCTGTCGCTCCCGGGGCTGGCGTGCTTGCCCCAACCCCCAAGGGGAGGATGCCCCAGGGTGGGGGAGGTGTCGCTGAGCTCGGCGGTTTCAGGGGTGCCTGTTTCACGACCAGGAAGAGCTGTAGAGGGAAAAAGCTTAAACTTTTAGTCTGGATTTGCTGTTAAAAGTTGAGTACATGACTTTAGTTGGGGAGGTAGAAGGTGGTGGAAGGAGAGGGATGGGCTCCGCCTTCCAATACAGTACCCTAGATACATTTGAATAACAACCCACTGCCTCTATAGGCCTCAAAAAGGCTATGGGACTACCTTAACTTTTACCTAAAATGATGGTTAATCCGTCTGCAATTTTCCTTAAAAATCAAAAGTCACAAAATACGCTCCATCTTTAAAAACATGGGACTATTCACTTAGCTATTCACTGTCGCCAAAAATTAAAACATTTGAGTATGAGACGACAGAGAGGACATCCTGGGCCAAAAGTTATGAAACATAGAAGCCTGAATAATTTACAGTGTGAGTTTGCCCTGACCTGCAGTTCTAAACGCCCCGCTAGGTGGCGTCGCAGCAGGACCAACGGCAGCTGCAGTTGTCCCCTCCAAAGGCTCGGCTGTCCCCCCCTGTACCCCGTTGGTTTGGCCCGTTCCAACCCCGGGCTGTTTAGGGCTGGCCGTCCTTTGCTCCCCAGTTGGTGCCTGCTGGGACTCTGCTCCTGCAGGCACTGGTTTGGGGGATGCAGAGGTCACCTCTTTCTTCTTTGGTATTTCCGACTCCTGTGAGAAAGAAGGTGTGTTATAACTTTCAAAAAACTGTGAAAAAAGTAGAACTTTCAAATAACTGTGAAGAAAGAGCCTTCAAGACAATAAAATATGCAAATAATGAGAAAAAGAGCCTTATAAGGGCAAAATCTAACCATGGGAGCTGATTGGCTGGCTGGTCTTGATCCTGGTTGGCTGGAAGGTCGGGAGCCGGCTCCTGGTTGGCTGGGTGGCCTGGATCCTGATTGGCTGGGAGATCTGGAGCCTGATTGGCTACCGGACCTGTGAGCTGGGCTTTGATTGGCCACCCCAGATGGATAGCAGGAGGCAGTCTTACACTGCTGGTTACTGTTCTTGTCCAACAGTTTGTTCAAGATCTGAGGACAGGACAGAAAAATTTTAGTACATATTGGGGTACAACTGAATAACAACAGAACTTGACACTGCCCGATGGCAATGTTTTCTTCATTTTAAAATCTATGGAAGGTTTTAGGTGGTTTGAAAAGAAAAGGGGTATGTGACATGTTTATTTTGTAAAAAGTCCGGAATCGGTTCTTGACTTTTAGGTTTTTTTTTGGACTTGAACCTAAACATTTTTAGAAGGCCAGCGAACTGGTACACAGCACTACACAAAGGCTCAAACAAACAAACCTTTCTAAGCTTGGTCTGATCGTCCTTGTAGTGTAGAAGCATGGCCAGCAGGCCAAATTTGAGTATTTCATGAATAGATAAAGCCTCAAACAAACAAACAAACAAGTAAACAAACCTTTCTAAGCTTGGTCTGATCGTCCTTGTAGTGTAGAAGCATGGCCAGCAGGCCAAATTTGAGTATTTCATGAATAGATAAAGCCTCAAACAAACAAACAAACAAGTAAACAAACCTTTCTAAGCTTGGTCTGATCGTCCTTGTAGTGTAGAAGCATGGCCAGCAGGCCAAATTTGAGTATTTCATGAATAGATAAAGCCTCAAACAAACAAACAAACAAGTAAACAAACCTTTCTAAGCTTGGTCTGATCGTCCTTGTAGTGCAGGAGCATAGCCAGAGCCAACTCTCCGCGCTGCCTCCTAGTGCCTTCACACAGAAGTGCATGCTCAGCCTCGCTCACATTGGCCTTCAGCCCTGGAGAATACCGTAGGAAAAATAATGTAGAAATGTCATTATATCAGTCTGGAAAGAGAAAACAGAAAAAAAGGGCAAGAATGAAGGCATCCTTTGTCTAGCACCAAATGCTATCACAGAGGCCACAAAGTCAACATACAATGTACTAGGCTGGTTGATAATTATACAGTACTTCAAACAATGAATTTTGAACTGCAAATGATAAATGGCAAAACTGTAACAACTAGGATAGTAGACAAGGACTATCCAACTGTTGGAGCCCAAATATGAGCAGTTTGGGTTTAATTCAGAACCTGAATGGTACAAGCTTGCCCTTTTTTGCAAGTCATTTAAAAATGAAATTGAAGTATCCAATATTCATTGAGAAATTAAATTGGTGTGGCCTTGTGGAAAGGAAAAAAAAATACTTGTCTCCTACCGAGGGCAGTGACAGCAGCCTCGAATCCCATAAGTTCGTCTGTGGGCTGCCGATCCTTTACCTGGATGTTTGGTCGGGAACTCCCGTTACAGTTGTCTGAAAAACACATATCAACTTCAGTGTCTGCCTGCCAAACAGTGATACGCAGATTCTACCCTCACTTAGTTTTGTTATATTCGAACATAATAAATAAAATTGTCAAATCATATTATATCACTCCGTGTTTTACTTATTTTGTAGTTACAAAAATGGGAAAAAGAAACTTTAAGGTAACATTTGGAAAGCAAGTACCCAATGTTTACCTTCACATGGTCTACCCTACTGCTCTGTCTAGTATTCTTACTGAATTTTAAATATACATGGTGACCAGCCCCTCCAACTCTGTCCTGCCACTTGCTACATAATGTCACCCTAAACCACAGGGTGTCAGTTACAGCACCAGTTACCAGTTACCATCTGGTCCAGGTCATTGACTTTATTTGTTTGAAACGGAAGAAGAAGAAGATAAAAAAGAAACAGAGCAAAAACAACATATTTTCCTCCTGCAAAGGTAAACAAACAAAACCGCAGCCTTACTGGGCAGACAGAGAGCATCGAAGATGAAGCTGGCGAGCATGAGCGGGAGCACGGCCTCGCCACGATGGTGGGACTTGCCGCTCCGCAGGTTCTCTGCGCGCTCACGAACCATGTCCATCTCCACTGGACCCAGCGGGATCTTCTTCAGAAGGCCAACCAGCTCTGACTCCTGGTTCGCTAGTTTTACCTACAAAGAAACAAAAATGTACAGTTCTTTCTTAAGTGCCAAATGTGCACTGTGTACATGTAATCATCAGAGCTACAACACTCTTAAACCAGAGGCCTGGTGGTCATCAGACCCCCCCACACACACACACACTTACCAAAAGTGAGTGGTTCAAACCTTACCGTCTGGTCTCAGTTTGACCTACAAGAAAACATGTACAGTTCTTTCTTAAGTAGAAAGAATTATATATGGCTAATTACTTTTGCCTAATGTATTTTATATGTAGACAAGCTAAAAAATTTTTTTAAAAAGGGTCCTGACCTCGAGAGTCTTGCTGCAAGCAGGTAGTCGCGGCATCTCTAATCCGAAGAGCCCGACCTGGAAGGCGAGTGTGTGGCAGTCGGCCTGCTCCAACAGAACGCTGCACAGGAACGCCGCCTTCGCCAGCGTCGTGCTCGCAAACGTGCAGGTCATCCCCGACGGGCAGTGCCGGCTTCTGGGATGGAAAAAATAGAAGATCATCATCATCATCATTGGTACTCTTCATTATGAAGTGCAACTAGGCGATGTTGAGTCTCTTGAACTGTTTGCTGAGAGAAGTTCATATCCTTCTAGATTAGTTTGTTTCAATGAGTTTTATATTATTTCATTTATTTTATTGGTTTAGCTGTACAAAAGACAACTAGGATTGCCCAACTAGTTACAAGACTTCTGGAATATAAAACAAGGATTTCATTAAAAGGTGGCAAGATGTCTTGTAGTTAGGGACTCAGAATCCAAAAGTGCTGGGTTTGGATCTTTGGCCTGCCCCAGTGTTGTGCTTGGGAAAGGCAGTTTACACCTATTTCTTCACTCGACTCAGCTAAAACTGAATATCTAGCTTTGGTTAGGGACATTCTCTCAGATGGGATGCAAAGCCAGAGGTCCCATGTTTGAGGAGAGCCACAGCTCGAGCACGTAAAATATAAAGATCCCATGGCAATTATTGAAAAGAGTAGGGATCTGAGTGGATCAAACCTTATAGTTTGGACATACTCCGGGTAGTAAAGTTGATAGTCAGTCCTTCTATAAATGTTGACTTCTAGAAAAGTAACATTTGCAAAGCAAATGCATAATGTTTACCTTTGGATATGGTCTTCTCTGTTAATTCTTACTCAAACACATTGACATACAATGTATATGGTGACAGGAGTCTAAATCCCTCCTTCTATAAAATTGCAACATTATGTAACCCAACACCAGTTACCATGGTGAGCGACAGTCTGGTACAGGTCATTGACCAGGTTAGAGGTCACTGTTTGGAGAAGAAGAAGAAACTGAGCAAAAACAATATGTTTCCTTCCGTAAACATAAATTAGTGTTTTCCCCTTGCCCTTACCTGCATGTGGAGTGTCCTGATGGAATGGGAGGACTCGCCAGCATCTGCATGGCCAGCTCTTTAGCCAGCTGGCACGCTTCCCGGGTGTAGCCGTGAGCATGGAGGGCCTCCGCCTGGCAGTACAGAATCTACACACACACAGCACAGAATCAGTGAATTAGGGAAGCAAAAACCTGCACAGATGAAGGCTAGACATCCAGGTAATAAGAAACACACAAAAATTGTTACTTGAGCAACCTTTCAAAACCTAACCAGTTGCTTGAGTACCAATTTCCTTGTGTTCTCCAACTGAAAGAATTACTTTCAAATTTTCAACCGATTCACTCAGTCTTTCTCAGTTTTCCGGCCCAATTGCTGTTCTGAGTCCAAAAGAGTAAAGGACATTGATGCCATTGATAGTCAGGGCGTACTTCTCTTAAGGAGCAAGCTCTATAAAGGTTTAAAACTTGGCTCCCTGATTGTGGTAACTCTAATTCAAGTCTACAAGCTAAACTGTCATAGGTGGCCATATGGCAATTTGGGAGGTATGTGTTATCTCAGACAATAGCTACTCACCTCCAGTGGGTCATCTATAAACTTGAGCCCAGCAAAGTAGTTGTCTCCCTGTTCCTTGGGCGGTTTGGGCTTCCTTGGGGTGAGAGCACTGGTATCATAATAATACATCTGGTACTCGTCTGGACCGATCCCCTGCTCTCTAGCACTGCCAATCACATGGTTACCATGGCTACTGGAGTCATTCATCCAATCAGAATCCACCTCGTCTGACGGAGAGCTGCTGGCGTTGTTCGAAAGGTCTGAGTCGGATTTTAGCGGTTTCTGTTTCGGTTTTCTCCGCACTGTTCTTTGGGGGGATTTGTCGGGCGACTTGGTGAGTTTCGCCTGCAGCTTTGATTTGCTAGTCCTAGCCGAATCCGCGGGCTGCAAATCGGAGCTGCTGTCAGTCTCGTCTGAAACGCAACTCGAATCAGCGGGCGGCAAATGTGGAGTCCTGTTTACACCTGAGGATGACGGAACATGATCAAAATCGCTACTACTATCCACAGCTTCTGAATGCGAGGGCGCCAACGCGGGGCCGGCTTCAGTCCCGGCTACGTCAGCTCCTGAAATTGATACCTGAGATTTCACCGTTGCCATGGCAACACCCACCTCCTCCGCCTCCGTAGTCCCTGATTTGGAAGCCGACGATTCGTCCTGAGGCGGGAGGTCACTCTCCTCAAGGTCGAGCGAGTCGTCCCCGTCCTGGAGTTCGGAAAACGACGTGTCCAAGGTCGGAACGCCTTCGTCGACGGCCTCGTCCGCACTAACTCTCCTCTCCTGCCTTCTCTCGTTCTCCTGCGCTCGGTGTGAGTCCTTCTGACCGCTAACCGTAGCGTCCATACTACCGGCCTGCGCGCCGGCTCCTCCCTGCTGACGGAACGCGCACTCCGCGAGCTGCGCGCTCATCGACACGAAGACGCCCATGTCCTCGTTCGGGATTCCTGCCGAACGTTTCTCCCGGTCGCGCAGCGTCACGTCCAGGTGAGGAACGTTCTCCAGCGGGAAATCCTCCCAGCCGACCTGACAAGGAACAGGAATCAGAAATGAACAAAGGTTTAAACACACAAATGACAAACAAATCTACATTATACTATCATGAAAGGTCATCTGTGTTCACTTGGTAGTTACATGTTTGAAGTTAAAACTTTTGTTCCAACACAAAAAATTCTCTCACCTAGAGCTTTCGACCAATCACTCTAGTCTAGGTGAGAGAATTTTTTTGTGTTGGAACAAAAGTTTTAACTTCAAACAAACAAATCTACATTATGATTTGATAATTTTGGTCCAGACCAAAACAGATCTTGAGATATTTGACTCTAAAATCATTAGGTTTCACTCACCTGGTCATTTTGGACTCTCCATTTTAGTCATTTTGATTCACTGGCATGATGTTTAAAATCCTGAATTTTGCCCGCTACAGACATAACATTTGAAAACTACAGATGGGATATTATATGTGCAAATACGACCTTGTATGAGACGTTCTGTTGAAGTGCTATGCACAATACACATTACAGGTTTCGTACAGGTGCAGTACGTTCTGCCAACATGCTTTTCAGAAAGAACTTAAGGAATGAACAAATAAACAAACAAACCTGGCAGGCTTCGATGGCGGGCTTGAAGCCCGGGAAGACTTCGATGTCGAAGGGCGTGATGGCGTTGTTCCCGCCGCGGCTCTTCCGCGCCTTGTCGACCACGAACACGTGCCACTGCTTCAGCTGGTGCTCCATCTCCCACCTGCAGGGGGGAAAGGTCGTGACATTTGAACCTTGAACCCTAACCCTAGGCTGTGACACACATTCAATCTCTCGCTGTCAGGGCTTAACCTAAACCTTAACCTAATGCTACCCTAACCCTTACCCTAACCATACCCCTAACCCTAACCCTAACCCTTACCCTAACCATACCCCTAACCTAATCCTAACCCTAACCCCTACCCTAACCCTAACCCTTACCCTAACCCTAACCCTAACCCTACCCTAACCCTAACCCTAACCCTATCCCTACCCCTACCCCTAACCCTATCCCTAACCCTAACCCTAACCCTAAACCTAACCCTAACCCTCACCTGTCGAAGGCCTTGAGTGCAGGGTTCAGCACAGCCAGTCTCCAGAGCACCACTAGTTCGTCACACAGCCCTGCCGCGCCGTGCTGGGAGATGTTGGCACTGCTGTTGTTGCTGGTGGCGCGGTTACTGTGGGTCGAGCCGTGCGCCTCTGTCGTCCGTGTGTTGAACCACCAGATCACAATCTATGGCAGAGTCAGATACACTTTTTAAGCAATGAAATGAATCAATTAATTTTTATTTGAATAACTCGCGGACAGAAGCATTGTTTTTTCTTAACAAGTTTGAGGAAGGTGCTACAAACGATTCAACATATAAAAGATTACACTTAAGTCAATAATTGGGTGCAATCAAATACGTCCAAATACACAACTTTCAGCAACGCAATCATCCTCAACACAGGAGAAGCTACCAATGCAATGTTGCTTCGTTACAGCTCGCATTAACAGCCAAGCACACCGGGTCACCTCGAGTCTATGCTTCTTGATTTGTGTATTGGGTTCTTTTACATGCAGAGGTTTCGCACGGGTTTCCCTGAAGCTCCCTCATACAAGCTTTACATCACCGTATGAAATTCAAAACTTTTAATTACTGAAAATACCTGATCACAGCCTATACACTCCTCAGTGAGGATCTCCAGCAGTGGGATAGCGTTGCTGTCCCGGCGGCGGAACATCTCCCTGACGATGGACAGCAGGTTCCACATGCCCTCCGGCTCCCGGCCGCGCAACGGGCGGAGAAGGTTGGACCACTCCGCTGCAGCGGGGGGAGCCGTGGTCGACAGGTACAGCGAGTTTACATCACTGCAACAAACAAACAAACAATGAACACTGGTCACTTTAACAGTCACGTCAAGTTGGAAAGTCACTTTCCAAATTGAGGCCTGAATTCCCAGACTTTAAAAAGTCCCAATTCATTGCAGTGTTGGCAGTTAAAGTTGAGTCTTTATTTCATAATAACAATGTTCGCAACAGATGTTCGCATGCCCCCAGACTCAATAGCATGAGTCGCCCTAACATGGCTACCGACAGGAAAAGAAATAGAGGGCGTTCAAAAGAGACGTGGAGGAGAACAATAATAAATATTAGAGGGACCTAAAAGAGAGGGGGCTGACTCTGGACACAGCCCCGGACACAGCTGCAGATAGGGCCAGATGGAAATCCTTCCTGTTGCCACAAGAACCACTAGGTTCAGAAAAGGATTGAGTGAGTGAGTGAGTGAGTGAGTGAGTGAGTGAGTGAGTGAGTGAGTGAGTGAGTGAGTGAGTGAGTGAGTGAGTGAGAGAGTGAGTGAGTGAGTGAGTGAGTGAGTGAGTGAGTGAGTGAGTGAGTGAGTGAGTGAGTGAGTGAGTGAGTGAGAGTGTGAGTGAGTGAGTGAGTGAGTGAGTGAGTGAGTGAGTGAGTGAGTGAGTGAGTGAGTGAGTGAGTGAGTGAGTGAGTGAGTGAGTGTACCAACACAGATCAACTTTCATGCCAAACACAAACCTGAAGACAATAGGAGCGGGCCCACAGAAGCGTATCAGCATCTTCTTGATGTTCTCATGTGAATTTCTCACCTGAAGATGAGAATTTCTCGACTGAACATCAGAATTTGCACCTGAAAATCAGAGTTCTCACCTGAAGACGATAGGAGCGGGTCCACAGAATCGGATGAGCATCTTCTTGATGTTCTCGTGGAGCGTCTGTTCCTCCTCACTAACAAACAAACAAACAAACAAACCCACAAACCTGAAGACGATCGGAGCAGGTCCACAGAATCGTATCAGCATCTTCTTGATGTTCTCGTGGAGCGTCTGTTCGTCCAGGAACCATGTCGGCAGGTCGTTAGCGGAGGGTCCGGCCGTTGGGTCCGGAGCGCCGCAGACCGTGTTGATCGCCGTCTCCTGGGACGACAGGAGCTCGTCCAGCAGACGCTGCGCGGTGGGGAGGATCTGCATGGGGGGGGCCACGTTCAGAGTCAAAATCAGGAAGTACACCAAAATAAATGTCTGTTGAAAGTTAAACAGTGATCCATCAGTGGACATTTATTTCGCTATCATGAAAGTTCATTTGTGTTGGTAGTAAAACTTTTGATCCAACACAAAGAATTGCCTCCTCTAGAGCTTTTGACCGGTCACCCTAGATCTGGTCTTCCTCAGTAGACTGACCCAGTGAGGCTTGTCACATGGCTTCTATTTAGTGTGACATCAAAACTGGGTCAAAGGTACTAGTATGCGGTAGACAAAGCCACGTGACAAGCCTCACTGGGTCAGCCTACTGAGGAAGACCAGAGTGACTGGTGGAAAGTTCTAGGTGAGAGTACTTCTGTGTGTTGGATCAAATTAAACTTTTAACTACCAACACAGATGAACTTTCGTGATAGTGAAATAAATATCCACTGCTGCTCTGTTTATACTTACTCAAGTACTCAATATATTAATTTTATTATGGTGACCAGCCCTTCCAACTATGTTCTGCCACTTGCTACATAATGAAAGAGGGGTGTTCGTACCTGCTGAGGAAGCTCGCTGATGAGGTACTGAGCAAAACTTCAAGTACTACACCTTTACTACCCCCCATTTCTAGAAATGGAATTGCCCTGCAGTAGATTTTTGTGCAGTAACTTTGGGTGATACCACTGCCCCAGAGGGGTGTTCGATTCATACCTGCTGAGGAAGCTCGCTGATGAGGTACTGAGCAAACTTCTGCAGCTGGTCTCTATGGAGACGGGAGAGAGACTCTGACACAGGAGCCCGCAGGCACACTGCACCCGCCTGTAGCAACAAAACAAAACAAGGATCATTGGGCTGTTTTCTGAAAGGATATCAAGTGCTTAAAGGGGTAGGGCAGTGAGAAAATAAGTAGGCTTAGCTTAAGATCTTTCTGTAGTCAAGATCAAACACTGTACATTGTATTCTCAATAAATGTATGTGATAAAAGATTAAACACGTTTGAGAAATGGGATTCTTTACTATGTTCTACTAAGGAAATACAAAAATTGGTCTGTTATTGTATTTCTCTCGGTAAGACAAAACAAGAAACAAGTATTGTCCTGAATACCATTCTAAGAAATGTTTTTGTATTTCACATCTAGAATGAGGAAGGAAAATTTTTGCTGTGCACGTACATTATGTATCCTGAAGAGACACAGTGAGACGACGTGAGCGCACCACTTGGCTGTGCTGTTACAGGTGCAGCTGCACGCTGTGATTCGCCGACGGTCAAACACCACCGCTACGTTAAACGAACCCTTGGGCTGCGGCAGGCCTTGTGGGGGCACCACCGTCGCACTTAGGTGGAAACCTGGAAAACAATCCGCACGTGGTTTTGGAAAGGGTCAAAATCATATCCAGTTGCTTGAGTAACTGTGTTTTGGCCTATAGAGGTCCTGTGTTTGAAGAGGGCCACATCTCGAGATCCCACCATACTTGTCCTATTAATTGTGGTAAAAATCTTGATTAAGATATCTTTTAAAAAATCAATTTTTTTACCTAGTATCTACAGTTCCTACTTCAATGCTCTTACTAACATTTAAATGTAAAGGTAGCTTGACATATTTAGCTTCATTTTATTTTCAACCCACAGGACAGAGGCAAGTGGCAGGCTGCCATCAAGCCTCAGCATCAGTGTGCAAGCATGTCTAACCCTCAGAAGTCGGGAAACATCAGACGCTAAACCAGATAGTGAGTGATGTGTTCTCACCTATCTGTAGCGCCTCCTTGACTGCCCTGGCCTTGAGCAGGTGCTCCCCCTTCTGGAACTCATCGGCACTGCCGTTAGCCAGACACGAGTACAGCCTATGTGGAGAAAAAACATTATAAAAACCTTAAAATTTGGTTGCATCATAAAGAAGCTTTAAGTTAGCTATATTTTTCTATTCTTACTTTTTCTCTGTAAAACTGTAAGCTTACATGCACCCTTCAAAAATATGTTGTACCTGCTTTGTTCCCTCTCTCATTCCCTTTCTATTTCCATCTCCTTTTTCTCTTCTTGCTTCCCTCCACCCCTCCCTCTCTCTCATTCATTCACCCTCCCTCCCTCTCACTCACTCACACATTCACTCACCTACTCTCACTCACTCACTCACTCACTCACTCACTCACTCATTCCCTCCCCTTCTCCCTCACCCCCCCCCCACCTGATATCCTCTTCATTCTCCGGGAAGCTCCAGAAAGCGATGCGGAGCTGCAGCTGTTCAGGAACCGGCGGGTAAACTCTCTCCACCACCTCAAATGGAATGTGCTGTGCCACCTGCCTCGCAGATAGCTCAACCAGGGGAACCACTGGGCCTTCTGTGGGTCGGCATAAGGAAAAATGGGCTTTAGTTTAGGTGCATTCATTTGAAGACACACTCACAAGATTCTTTTGTCAAAAGCTTTGAGAGCAAATTGGACATTTCATATTACCGGGAAGTCTGAATGTATCAGAAATATATTGTAGTTGATCTTGAGGGAAATACCTGTATACCTGTAAATTGTACTACTGTAACATTTGTACAAATTGTAGTCAAATGGTCAAACAGTGACAACCATGAATACATAGATAGAGTTATCCATATAGATATGAAACACCCTTATATAATAGTATACATACATACAAAGCTAACACCATCCCAGCTGCTGATCATGATTTTTGAAGTAAACTGTTTAACATCTAACATCACTTTGACACAGCAAAACACATATGCCATGACAGCATCCCAGTCCCTAACTCACACCAGACTGACATATATGCAGCTCAGACCTTACCACATATTCTAGATCTGCCCACCATATAGGAAACACACTGAGTCTACATATCCCCACACAGACACACGGCCATGCTGTATATTTAGTCTGTATGCCAGTCTGACCCCAGATCACATCCACACTTACATGTACGTATCATACCTCACTGTCATATGATAGCATGGAGCTGCCATGCACTTGGCCCCCCCTCCCCCAAAATGGCAAACTGCAATCTGAGTATTTTCATATGTAGAGTTCAGTATATACGATTATGATTATGATGTTAATCTCCAAGCAGAGGTTTAGGTGGCTGCAAAAGACAGAGCAAAATGGATACAGTCTGGCTAGCTAATGGATAAATCTGATAATGCTTGGCAAATTTGATACTGTCTTTTGCAGCCACCTTAACATCTGCTTGGAGATTATATGATGTCACAGCTAGCAAATGGTACTGGTAGGCAAAAAGTAGGTACTGGAGTGGTATTTGGGTGATTTGCTTTGACCAATAATTTGCATGTGTACAAATAATTGATGAAATTTTTACTGTACTTACATAATTATAATTGCTTCAACCATAAACTTAAAAACACCATCAAAAGTCTCCTTTTCCCCTCCTACCATGAAAATTCAAATATAAATAAATCAATTCACAGTGCTACATATAAAATTATGTTGCACATTTTTATAGCTCAAGAAAAACAATCTAAGACTTGTTTCTACTATTTCTAAATTTATTTTACTAACTCTGCTAAGATCACTGTGAAAATCCAACAGAAACCCTAGTGGGAATTCTAGCTTCCACAAAACCCCTTCCACACCCTCCTGACTTCTTCCCTCAGCTGTAACACGGCGACCCCAAACGACCTCTCAGAAATCAATTCCTGCTCACAAAATGCAATTATAGATAACCTTACCTGGTCCTATTACTAAATAGCCACCATTACTCAATGCTAGGATGCCCCAATGCATGATGCTACTGCTCTAACTGTATGTATTATAACATTTTGCATACACATGTGCATTCATTTGAACAATACAGGACAAAAATGATGTATAATCATATAGAAAGTCATTCAACTGTGTCTGGGACGTTAATTATCTTGATATAATGGTTTCTAAGAAGAATTATAAGTTAAAGACTATAGATCTACCTTAACATGTTCATAAGTTTATGACATACTTGCATGTACATGTAACTGTAAAGCATATTATGAGTTAAACATGACCACTGACTGAGATAAACAATAAAAGAAAACAAAACAGGAAATGCAGCTCTCATATACGGTAAAAAAAAAGCCCCACCCAATTGCAAGTCTGTAGCCTTGAGACAATGTCCTTGTCCCTGTAACAATGTTCCAGGTAAGGCTAACATAAATACACATGTATGTACACAACCTTCAGTCCAGATTATAGTGTCATGTCCTTCCTAATGGAACTACGTTGTGGCACAAGTTTCAGTGTTACCTTGGGCAAAATCACTGTCACCTTGGGCAAAATACAGTTTCCTAGACAAACTACTTTCCTGGACAGACATAATCCAACTGCATTTCACAGGCACGCACAAAGACGATATCTTTGAAATCACATTTAGATTTATAGCATTTGCATGTGTCTTTTTGATTTGATCTAAACTGTCCAGTTTTTCTAGTTTTACAGACACACCTCCACAAGGCCTAGTCCCTGACAAAAGGTTATGGGAGGTTAGGGAGACAGGTCATTGACCTTCCACTTCACAAAGGTCAATGACCTTCCATGACCTATGCCCCTGAGCACTACACCAGCAACCATTATGGGACCTCATTATTACATGGTAATCTGGAAGGTTGGATTGGTCATGTCCCCAAGAGCCAGTTTTTGGGGAGTGGGAGCTGCCCTATTGGTCAAATTTTTCAATTCCTACATGTTTTTTATATCCCTTATTATTTTTTTTATAGTTATGCCATTTTGAAGGTATGGGGAAGGACTAGTACTGTATTGCTGAGAAGATTGTGTGCCTTCTATTCAAGAGCTGCACACTCCAATGACTAACAATCACCAGGTCCTCTTCCTATCTTACCTACCCGAGTGTCAGATTAAACTGAATACAGTAGTCTTGATTTTGAATCATTTTATAGCCAGGGCTTCAAATACCATCTGCATATTACTATATGGTGTGATGTCTACCACAGTAGCACCTGCACCAGTATATGTACACTGGTACACCTTTCATGTACAATGTATGCAGAAAAAGTATTTCAAGCCCATTTTGGTACATGTATGGCCATTTTGTTATATACATGTACCCCTGCTGTATAAAACCATTAATTTACACATAATTACAGGTCAATCACAAACCATTCAGCTGGGGAATCTGCTATCTGGTGCACTGGAAACATACCTGTACAATTGTTAATCTTTGAAGTTTGATATAAGAATATAATTTATGCATGTACAGTACAGATCTCGGGATAAGCATCAAGTCCCGCGGGAGATCCCGCGGGAGTTTGCGGGATCTCCCGCGGGAGTTTGCGGGATCTCCCGCGGGAGTTTGCGGGATCTCCTGCGGGAGTTTGCGGGATCTCCTGCGGGATTTATCGGGATATCCCGCGGTACGAAATCCTCTCCCGCAACCCCGATCTTCGGTGTGAGACTTTAGGTTTCCGAAGGGCCGGCGCCGCTGTTACTTGAAGTTGAACCGCGTTGACTACAGATTTTTACGCAGACAGACGATGCGTGCATGTTTTAGTATGTTTTCAATGCATGCAAATACAGTAGAGCAAATAGTATTTTTAACCAAACATTTCTTTTTTTTTGATATCGAAAATCTGGTGGCTTAATAAGATATAGAACGATAACAAAGTAATACAACCTTACTTGTACAAGTTTGTGTCCGGCCTTGCGACGTGGACGGCTTTATTTTGATGTCACCCGACCCGCGCTATTTCAGATATAATTTTTAAAAAATCTAACGCATCGACGTGCCAAATCGCCACTCGAGTTCTTTATTTTTCTCCTAGATAGGGGAGGTTGACGTATGGAGTTACGGAAGAGAGATTAAACATTGTGTAAAACAAGGGGGCGAAGCATAATTCAAGGGTTCTTTACGCCTCAAACTTTGATACATTTCGTGCGCCACGCAGTGTTCAGGGCCTGCATGGGGGTTAGTGATTACGAATTACGCAAAATTTTCGCTATAAAGTTAAAGTTTCAGAGCTGATTACGACTTTACGCTTTGCGGCTAATGTACTGATACGAATTACGTTGATTTTAGGGAAGGTTGCCTACGGTTTACGAAGACAATGAATTAAAAAACGCCTGATTACGCCTTACGAAAAAGGGCATGCAGACCCCCAGTGTTGGGCCGGGCGTTCCCACGCCGCGTCGCCATAGAAACCGCACGTCGCCAGCAGCGGCGCTGGCAGACTCCCCGGCGCCGCCTGACCACGTGGCGTTCTGGCGCGCCAATCACAGCGCGCAGACGGGGACCCGCCCACCAGCTGGGCCGCGAATTCAAAGAGTTGAGTCAGATGCGCCGCCCCAAAGAAACACCGCCTGACGATTGTTATACGTACGTCGGATTGTAGCTTCTTTTTCCGCCCTGCACGGCCGGCATGCGGCATTGTAATTTTCTTATATCCCAATTTCATCCCAAAACAACGTTTTTCACATGTGAGGAGGCTAGTTCCACGGAGTGTACCGAGTGAATTTCAAGTTTTATGGTCTGAGAACGAATTAATTTGCGTCAAATTTTGCATAAACACGTTTAGTTCGGGTTCTCCCGTGTTTATTTATTTTCGGGTTCTCCCGTGTCTTGGACGTGCGCTAAGTTTATAGCCTTGTTCTGTTAAAAATCGACAGAAGCTGACAGAAGTAGAATGTTTTCCTACCGAAAGAAACTTTGCCAGCCGCGTGGAAGTACTTGCTTTCAGGGTGATAGCAATCTATCGAAATTAATTATGGACATGGTCGTTGTTAATGCAAGAGTTTTTGGGGAGGGGGGAGACGCACGCCCCGGGATTTTGATGGGCAAACTTTTAATTGTCGCAATTCTTAATACTAATACGGAGACCTCTTGACGCAAGCTACCCATGAGAAGACAACAGCTACAAGATTATGAAACACAACCACAAACTACTGCCGGTACGCCTCATAATTTTTATTTCTTGGTAACAATCTTGCCGAATTTACCGGAGACGGAGGGATTACTACACGTTACATTGTATTCATTCACGGTAGTTTCTTAAAGTTAAAGTTTGCGCTGAACAATAGTCTTTAGAAAAAAAAGTAGCAGTTTTATAATAACTATGACCGCGTGAGAAACACCTTATACACATTATTTTCGTACATTCCTATGCTTCAACACCATCAAAATTGTAGCAAAATTGTAGCAAAGTTGACTGGCGTCAGACTCCATCGGCCCGGCACAGATCGCCGGGCAGGACGTAAAAATAAACATTTGACACGCCGCCATCGCCGTTCCGAGCCGCGGCAGACTTCGGGGTCTCGCACCAAGTTTTTTCGCTACGCGGTACGCGGGACACGACAGGCCTCCCGAAAGAATACCGCGGGATATCCCGCAATCTCCCGCGTGATATCCCGCAAACTCCCGCGTGATATCCCGCAGTCTCCCGCGTGATATCCCGCAAACTCCCGCGGGATATCCCGCAAAATCCCGAATCCCGATGATGCTTATCCCGCGATCTGTACTGTAGGTGGGATGGACAGGCAGGCTCCTACATGTATATGGTATAATCTATAGTTTTCCCATGTCGTATAAAAGATATCACTATCTGTATTTATGAGATTTTACAAGCAGCTTCGGCCCCAAAACACACCTGCTTCACACTCACAGTAAGACAGCTAAGGCCTCTTGAATTACACTGCACCTAAACCTGAGACATGTATATCCTAAAGGCTAAAAAAATCTTTGTCTAAAGCTATCGAATGAACAGCCGAACTACATTTGGTGACAACGAGATACGAACTCCAATTACATTTTTCAATTATTATTTATCAATTTCATTGATTTATCGTTTGAGGTAAAACTAGAACCTTGCTTCCTTTGTTACACCTGTGCCATGCATGTATAAAAAATCATTTTGTAAAGTCTAAAGAATAACCCACTCTGGTATTTCATGATGTTTCTAATACTATGTCATGATCAGGGCTCAAAAAACTGGGTGCATGTGCACCTTAGTGCACCTAAAATTGGAGCTGTGCGCCTAATTTTTTTCTGTGGGTGCACCAGTGTACCCAAATTTTTTGTAGGTATTTTTACATATTAAATGTATAATAGCATACAGGATATTCTTGGCATCTAAATGTCAGAAAGAGCACTTCTTTAAGATTTTCAAAAGTTATCTCCCATTCCAGATTCATTAGCCTATATAGTATAAACTTAAGTATAAGGAGAGCAGTAAGATCTGTAATTAGGTTTTGTTTAATTATATGGTGCACCCAAAAAAATTTGTGTGCACCTAAATTTTTAAGTTGGGTGCACCAGTGCACCTATTCCCAAAAATGAATTTTGAGCCCTGTATGATAGTTCAAGCACAATTTTCACGCTTTGATTCTGTACTGACTGTTCTACGAGCTGTAATGTAGGGCAGTGTTTAGGAATGCAGGCTAAGTCTGGTCCGTCTGCACCTGTGCATGAATAATATTGATCACTCCGACACGCCAACCTGACGGCCAGGACGAGACACAAAGCAGATTTCACGGCAAAACCAAACCACAAAGCACCGAGACAGACATTCTCGGCAACATTTTAAATATAAGCATTCAGCATTTGTGAAGGTTAAGTATGTAAGTACTAAAAAAAATAAGGGTACTATTGTATTACTACTATACAGCATATTCTTAACATACATTATAAAGCATTAGATTCGAAGAAGAAAAAAAATTATGTTGCATTCTCAAACTGACTCAAAATACAGGGTGCATATACACTCCTGTGTGCCTGAAATTTGAGCCGTACACTTATTTTTTGACGCAGCAGGTGTACCTTACAGTAGATATGTGTGGAAGATTGTTGTAAGGATAAAGGATACTAATTACTATTGTCTTGTAACTGTAAGTATCTTTAGCATATTCTCAACGTTGAAGTGTCAGAATATTCTGCTTTATCTTGTGCTCACAACTACTTTTTTTTCTGTGCACCTAAAGTTTAGGTAACGTGCACCTGTTTCCAAAATAAATTCTACACCCTGAATGTTCAGTTGGATGACTGGAAGAGTGACTCAAGTTACATAGTTTTCATGATCAGGAAAAACAATGGGGTAGTTATTTACAGGAAGCCCTTTTTTCTAGCACCATCCTCTCAGTTTCCTGTATTTTGCAGCTGAGCAGGCAATGGCACCAGTTTTACTCATGAGTCACATCCTACACTTGGATACAAGATTTAGGCCCTACCAATTTGATTTGTTGGTTCTCATAGGAATATATAAACCCATAGAGGTGTATCAAACCTTACGTTTCAGGAAATGAAGTTCCAGACAAAAATTTGTATCTGGAAAAGACAAAATGCAGCACATGTAGCTTAAATCCCCCCCCCCTTTTTTAAAAGCTTTTTGACATATTTTCTTGGCCTAACTCCGAGTCCAATTGAAAATCTGACAAAATAGAAAGGCTTAAGCCCAATGACAATTGTCTCAAGATTTTTTTTAAAGTCCAAAGTGGGCAAACTTAAATTGCTTGAGGCGAGCCTGAATGGCTAAGTTTATATTATAAGTTAACCTTCTCCCTGCTGCCCAACCTCATGAGTCATATTATTACCCAGTACAAATCTGGTGCCAAACAGCTACCTTAGCAGGCTGAGGGTTAACTGTAACAGTGTAAGACCTACCCTGAGCAGACAGGGCTCCCTGGTTCCCGTTCTGCCTCTTCCATCCCCGCCAGTTGTTACACAGACTCTCCGGCTCGCTGATCCACGAGCACAGCGAATCCTCCTCGAAACGGTCGCTGTCTTCGAAGGAGAATCTCTCCCCCTCATCCCATTCTCCTCCAGCGAACATGAAGTCCATCGTTCCGGAGGACCTCCCCTCTCCCTTCTCAACTCGATCCTTGTGTATGTTACACCACAGCACTTCAGGCTACTGTGTCTTCAAACCACCAGAAGAGCAGTTTTCTTTTAAAAGTTCTTGCTTTTCTGGGCCATTCCTCGATCTTCAAACTTCACAACCTCTTGGCTTACTCCTTGTGTAGTTTACAGCAGTAGGTCACAAGTTACAGTCCCTTCAAACACTATAAGGGACCTCTTTTCATAAAGGAGCAGTTTTCTTTTACAGTTTCTAGCTTTCCTGGGCCATTCTTTGGTCTACTTCCTTCAAAACCTCTCCTAGATCAGTGCTTGCCCCTTGTGTACCTTACACCTGGCAGGTCACACCACAGGGGAACTCTTTTCTAAAAGGAGCAGTTTCCTTCCTTTCACAAGTTCTGACTTGTCTGGGCCATTCCTTGGTCTTCAACCTTTGTTCTCAACCCTGGTGTAGTGTGTTATACTGTTGGGTCACAGGTCAACGTGCCTTTAGTTCAAACAATACATGGGGTCTCCCTTCAGTTTAAAAAAGCGACGAACAGGTTTCTTTCCAGAGTTCTACCTTCCCCGTGCCATTCCTGGGTCTTGAGTCAGTCCAGGTTGTTCCATGCAGTAGAAATGCCTGTAGGGGAGGGGAGAGAAACACGTATGCATGTCAGGATGTTTGCTTTGTTGTTGTTCAGACAATGGACAGGATGGGACGGAGAGTTGCTCTTTGGACCTTGTTCCCTTTATCGCAAGACGGCGTGAGCCGCTTTTTATAGCCTGGATGCCAGACCCAATTCTAGCACACTAGGCCCCAAGTTACCAGCACTCATGGTCTAACTCTGGGGGGCTGTGGTGTAATTTTGTTGGGAGGATATTGGCCCTGGAGCCGAGGAGCTAGACTGTGTTGGCCCTGGAGCTGAGGAGCTGGCCTGTACATCAAGTGTTGGCCCTGGAGACAGTCTGGCACCCAGGCTAGCCACTTTATGCTTTCACCTGTCTCCTGTGGACTGCATAGCAGGACTGGCTCTGTAAAAATCAATATTATACCCCCGAAAAAAGTGCAGTGGTACCCTGGGTCGTCTGTTTTTAGGATGGACAGGGGAACACAAAACATGTACAGGACTCAATAAATTACTTGCGTCTTACACAAAAAGAAACACCAACAAAATAAATCTGTTATTATATGAGGCTGTGCATCATTCAGAAAGCAACAACGGATGTTTTTTCAACATAAAATCAGCATAAAACTCTGCCAAGTAACACTAGTCAAAACAACAACAACACCTAGCCACAACTGATGTTGCATGCAACGTTACAACAAACAAAAAGAGCTGGATCCTTGGCGAGAAAATACGACATCGCTGTCGTCTGTTTTTGTCAGCCAAAATATGCGACCTTGTCCGAAAAGAAAGACACGTAGACAGCGACATTGCAAACTGCCTCACATGAAAAATATTTCAGAGGATGTCGGTGTGACATACTGGGTAAGGTCGCGGCGCCCCACAACACTCGGGCACTGAACTTTCATCATCATGTCGTGCGTTCTCAAGGTTCGATCTCTGGCAAACCGTGTCCGGATTTCTCACCGAAAACTCCAAGAATTTGCGCCGCACGTGGATAGAACGTACCTGGAAGGTTGCTTGGGGGACTGTGGAGGCAGGATCCCGCCCTTCCGGGGTGATTCAGGCCCCAAGTGCGCGGGAGAAAGCTTGGTTTCTTCCGTCCTCCTCGGTCTTTCCTCACAATCCTCTCTTCCCACCTGGCCCAGCAAAACAAAGGCAACATGGCAGATGGGAGGCTCCGCATGAAGGGATTGGCACCGGTTTGGCGACACAATTGGAAATTCGCAACGCAGATAGAGAACAAGCATTCAACACCTAAAAGAAGAAAAGCTTCACGAAGAAGAAGATAATAGATCATCTAACATCTTAACCGTTGTTGAACATGTTTGGCTGATATCTTGAAACACCACACCTTGTAAACCCTCAACACACCCTTCTTCTATCACGTGATTTTTCTGTGGAATTCCCGTGAAAATTCACCGACTAGGCCTTAAACTGTACCCCAAACGATACTGCATTCATTTATGTATAATGCAAGTGCTCCTGGATGTACCTAGGTGTTCAAAAAAGGGGAAAATCCCAGATAAAATTCAAAATCAAGCCCATGACCTTTGCACCCAAAAACATAACCTTTGCCCCGTGAATCTCGCAGAATCTCGCACGTCGGAAAACGTGAGCGAGATTTCAGCCTCTTTTACCGGACTTCGCCATCTTGTGAGCAAGTAAGTGTGTGAGGCGTCGTTTTATCCGCCGCAATCCTCCGTACAGAGAAAGAACTTCTCATAACAAATTATCACCACACGTTATAAAAACGTTGCCGTATGTGAAAGTGGAGCCATTTTGCTGCAGTATCGTAGATAAATGCTGTTAAACACAAATTTAGCGATCGTAGTACGTACTGACAACATCTTCCTGTTGAAAGCCAAAACGCATATGATCAACGTAATACCAAGTGGAGATGTGATCGTACCTCTATAGTAAGCAGAACATAACCAGTGTGTGATGATTTTTCTCCCGATACATTGATTTTCATAATCCTGAATGTCAGCAAAACACACTACGTTTTCACTAACTTCATTAACATGCGCCCTCCCCCTCTTACACACACATGAGAAGAAGTGTTGAAAGAAAGAAGATACTGTACATAAAATTATCACGAAGTTGACCCATCTTTTCTTCTTAATAAAACTTTTTACCTCCAATCTGTATGATCATAATTTTTCGGTCACATTACATGTTAGATGATGAAATTTGATGTTTACCTGGCATGTTTTTTCGGGGGGGGGGGCTGATAAAACCTGGTCTATGTGGACAGGGGGTCACTTTAGTCAGACTGAGAGTTTTTATAAAATTTCATGCGTGAAAATATAAGGAGGCTCACAATCAAATTGGCTGATGCAGAAGTACATATGTAAATTGTAATTCTCTCCCCTGAACTGAGCATGACATTATGTTTTCTCTCCCCCTACCTCAGCCATGGCCTGTATAATAACTACATGTATAAGGGTTAGAAGAAGAGAAGTACTAGTATGTGGTGTTTCTCTCACCTGTACCAACAATAACACATGTTTTCTCTCCCCTGTCCCCCAGACATGGCTCCCCGTAAGGGTAAGAATGTATTTCTCTCCCCTGTACTGACCATGACACATGTTTTCTCCCCCCTGTACCCAGACATGGCTCCCCGTAAGGGTAAGAAGGAGAAGGAAGAACAGGTCATCTCTCTGGGGCCGCAGGTCGCCGAGGGCGAGAATGTTTTCGGCGTCGCCCACATCTTTGCTTCATTCAACGACACATTCTGCCACGTCACAGATCTCTCCGGAAGGTAAGCTATAGGCTAGTCGAACCGCTAACCAATGCAAGTTTGGTGCCAAGTGGCTACCATAGCTGGGTAGGTGCTGTTGTTAATGTTAGTCATCCTCGATAGATGGTAGGTGTAAGAGGTTTAAAGAGATCTCTCAGATTTTATTCTCTCAAATTTTCGCCCAAACCTCACCATGAAATCATAACATTGAGTTTATATTTTCCTTTTTGGCTACTGTACTAAAGAATTGACTAAACCACAAATTTTAAACACTGACAGCCTCCCTCCTACCACAAAATGAAACCACAGGTAAAGTTTCACAGCCTACAGTAATGTGCTCAATCTATCTATCTTTAATGTACATGAATTTGATTGAGTTTTATTAACTCGGTTATTGACTTAAGACCTTGCGTAATCATTTATATGTTGAATCATTTGTAAAGCCTTCCTCAGACTTGTACGAACAACACAATTCAGACTTTATTCGACCCAATTTTTTGTGTTGGCCATTACAGTTCAAACTTGTTTCATAATGACTACTACCAACACAGATGAACTTTCAAGATACAATTCAGACTTGTCTGTGAGTTGTTTCTATAATCATGTAGATTGATTGATTGATGTTTTCTCCCTCCCAGAGAGACGATTGTCCTTGTGACGGGTGGAATGAAGGTCAAGGCTGACCGTGACGAGGCGTCCCCCTACGCCGCTATGTTGGCAGCTCAAGACGTCGCTACTCGCTGTAAAGAAATCGGCATCACCGCGCTGCACATCAAGCTGAGGGCCACCGGCGGGAACAAGTGGGTTTCTGTTTTATTCTTATATCTTCATTTGTTTATTTGCTTATTTTATTTTATTCACATGGATTTTTGAGCATTGGATAGGAAGCACTTGTTGTGCTTATGTGAATCCCTTGCTCATAAAACATAATACAAATGTAAACATAAAGAGGACATAAAGTATAACATAAACATAAAATGAAAGTGGCTGGCGCACCAATACCTATAGCATAACATTAATGAGATTGGTCAAATCTTCCAGAGTGGTGGATATAGTTAAACACAATATTTGTTTCAGGCTAGCTCAATTGGTAGAGTGCTCGCTTTGTAACCGGGAGGTCGTGAGTTCAAACCCCGGCCAGGTCATACCAAAGACTTTAAAAAATGGTACACACTTCTTTCTCTGCTTAGTACTCAGCACATATGAGAAAGAGTGTGGGAAGGTCAAACACACAGCACTACCAGCAGACCAGCCCCCTGCTGTAGTGCCCTGCACAACTGTGTGTCGCCCAAGGGCTACAGAAATGGAAATGGGCACCAAAAACCTATGCTATGCATGGTACACGGGTAGACCTCTCACTAGAAGAAAATCCGAAAGACATATGGAAAACACATAAGAATCAAATACTATTTACAGACGTTTGTGAAGTATAAGTTCCTTTTTGTTTTATTTTAGTTTTCAGTTTCATCAATTGGTTCTGATTTTCTCTGATTTGCAAAAGCAAAAAAAAAAAGAAATATTCAGGTTCAGAATTCACTCCAAAATGTATGTATTTTGGCCTTGAGTGGCCCTTTGAGCATTTCTGACTACTCAGCTGTTGTGATGTCTCATAACTCACTCTCACTCACTTACTGTCCGGTTTATCGTCTGTTGTTCCCCTGTCTTCCAAGGGTTAGACGTGCTTGCACAATACATCTGGGGCTTGATGGCAGCACGCCACTTGTCTCTGTCCTGTGGGTTGATTTTATCTAAGTTCAGGTGGTGGAGGTCCTCCCGTACGTTGTCGTACCATTTCCTCCTAGGGCGGCCACGGGGTTTGGACCCTCCACTGATTATTTTAACTGATGTATTTTAATCCTTCCAGGACCAAGACCCCTGGCCCTGGTGCCCAGTCCGCCCTTAGAGCGCTGGCTAGATCAGGCATGAAGATCGGCCGTATCGGTAAGGACAGTTGATCCTTTTAATTTCACGACATGTTTGTATATACAAAAACCTGACTCCAAATTTCCCATATTTACGGGTTAACAAAAAGCTATTCTTGTCTTAAAATCGGAGAACCTACAGCAAAAAAACGCGATTTTCCTCTTTCTTTGCTTCCAAAAGAGAAGTCCTGATATAACCAGCACTAGAACTTGAATTTGTTGCTGTAATCACCAGTATTTGAATATTGTTACCCTTGTATTCCTGTGTTACATAGAACAAATTTTAACCCTTTGTGCTTGATGACGATGTGTTTTGATAAATTTTAGCATTTGTACCAAAATGTCAACCCTTGTATTCCTGTGTTACAAGGGAAATATTAACCCTTGTATTCCTGTCTTACAAGGGAAATATTAACCCTTGTATTCCTGTGTTACAAGGGAAGTATTAACCCTTGTATTCCTGTGTTAAAAGGGAAATATTAACCCTTGTATTCCTGTGTTAAAAGGGAAATATTAACCCTTGTATTCCTGTGTTACAAGGGAAATATTAACCCTTGTATTCCTGTGTTACAAGGGAAGTATTAACCCTTGTATTCCCGTGTTACACATGACAAATGTTAACCCATGTATTCCTGTGGTACAGTGTTATACTGGACATATTTTAACCCTTGTATTCCTAGCCTCCTTCGCAGTCTTGTTGGGCATCGTCCGCGCAAAACATTCTCTCCGCGGCAAAAACTCCCTCGGCAGCAAATCGTCCCTCGCGGCCGCATATTACTCGCGTCGCTCACAGAAAAAAAATAACGCCGACGCCCAACAAGACTGCGAAGGAGGCTATGTATTCCTGTCTTACAAGGGAAATATTAACCCTTGTATTCCCTCAAGGGACACATGACAAATGTTAACCCATGTATTCCTGTGGTACAGTGTTATACTGGACATATTTTAACCCTTGTATTCCTGTGTTAGCACAAGTATTAACCCCTGTACTCCCGTGTTACAGAGGATGTGACGCCGATCCCATCAGACAGCACCAGGAGGAGCGGTGGACGTCGCGGTCGCCGTCTGTAGACGCCGGCCTCGTTACTCGTTACGCTCGTTATAACATCCAGAGGGAAATAAACACACTTCTGTACACCACTTGGTCGTATCATGTATTTAACTTCTGTTGTGATCTTTATAACTTTGGTAGTTAGGCCACACCAATTTAATTTGTTGTTTCTCAGATTTTTTTAGAAAAAATGCTAAGCGACGGGACGGAAAAAAAACAAAAAAAACAGGCCAAGGCACCCCATGAAGGCCAGAAATGTTACGATATGAGCCATAAAGTCAACACACCAGGCTGGTTTATAATTAAAACAATAGATTTAGAACTTTTAATGAAACATTTTTTTTGCAAATCAGGAAAAACGGACAGCGCGAATCCGAGAAACAACAAATTAAATTGGTGTGGCCTTATACTAGTTATACACTGTAGTAAAATGTTGCATTTTGTCTAAATATAAGTACATGTACAGAGAGATCAAATTTTCAATGAGCACTGTTGCCTTCATCAGGGTAATTAATTGATACTTTATTGGGATATCCATTACTTTGGCATTAGTCTTATCATCCTGGATTCCAACAATAGCAGGGTTCTAGCTAAGATGTAATTTTAGCGTACTATCAATGGGCCCTACTTCCGTGGTGTGGAGCTTTTAAAAATTTGAGCTAAAAAAGGGGCCATCTGAGGGATACCCAAAGGGAAAAAATGTTATTTCTAAGGTATGTACAATGTATCCTTGATTGGTAATTTTTCACATTTGATCTGGCATTCTTGAACAAGAAATACAGTCACAATGCCCCTATGCTGTATTGAAAATATAGTGTAGGGGGGGAAATTTAGCATAGGGGGTCAAAATTATAGCGTAGGGGCCCCTACGCTACTTAGTGCTAGCTAGAACCCTGAATAGCACAAAACAAAACATTACACAAACTTCACAATCATATAAAAACGACATTGGGCTTCTGTACTGCGACAGTTCCTGTCTTATTTTGGAGTGTCCTTCTACCTCAGGGTAGAAATCCATTAACTGAACACCAGGCCAGAATTCTCAAATCTGGTTGTTTAGATTCAGATTTTATTACCAATGACATAGCAGGTATAATATAAAATCAACACCTGAATTGTGTCATTGCTTACAGATCCGCCTTTAAAATCCAAGTATAAAATTCATAACTACATGATAAAATACAATTCTAAAAGTCATATCAGTAATAAGATATAAAGGGATATCAGGCAACCTATTTACCCGGGAGGTCAGGAGTTCAAACCCTGGCCGGGTCATACCAATTAAGCAAAGACTTTAAAAATGGTACACACTTTCTCTGCTTAGGACTCAGCACATATGAGAAAGAGTGTGGGAAGGTCAAACACACAGCACTACCAGCAGACTAACCCCCTGCTGTAGTGCCTTGCACAATTGTGTGTCGCCCAAAGGCTACAGAAATGGAGATGGGCACCACCCTACGCTCGGGCAAGAGCACGGGAGACCTTCTTCTTCTATTTACCTGATATCCCTGACATTAACCTGTTTATTTCTCAGTCGCTCACCAGACATCCTTGTCTGTGAGGGTCTTTCTGTCTTCTCTCTTGTTGCGCATGCGTGTTAGTCTATATGTTAATGATCCTAACTACCAACACATGTTACATGCACCACTTTTTCCAGATTTCGTGAAATGAATCAGGCGCAATTTCCAACAGGCGATTGAACTGAAACCGAAAGCAGGTCTCGTACGTCATCAGTACTCTCCCCGTGTATGAGAAGTCCAGCAGTTGAATTATGATGTCTGCCGAAAATTCATCATCCATTGGGCCATACCGCTGTAAAACAAACAACCATCAATACTTATGTTGATGAAGAATACTAGATGCTTTCCTAGAACAACATCACTATGGAACTAGCTACCACATGATTGTTTCCTTAAACTTTTTAAGTCTCATGTCAACAAAAATCTGTCCTCACTGGCTGTTACCAGTTGGAAACCATTTTAAGTCGAGTGGGCAAGACAAAAAAACATGGGAAAATGGGGAAAACCAATCTCTACTCTCGACGTCTACTCTCGACATCTCCATGAAGAAATTGTATGTAATTTGGGTTGACTTTTTTTCTTTGCAATACTTCGTCATCTATATCTGTATCAGTATAGCCGGTATAACCGCCCTTCGGCATAACACACCAGCATCTGTATCTGTATAGCCGGTATAACCGCCCTTCGGTGTAACACACCAGCTTCTGTATCTGTATAGCCGGTATAACCGCCCTTCGGCGTAACACACCAGCTTCTGTATCAGTATAGTCGGTATAACTGCCCTTCGGCGTAACACACCAGCTTCTGTATCAGTATAGCCGGTATAGCCGCCCTTCGGCGTAACACACCAGCTTCTGTATCAGTATATAGCTGGTATATCATCTAAAAAAAGAGTTTGATTTTCTTCATTAACGATGATACCTTTTCCTCAGGAGTTGCATCCTCCTTGTAGTAACGGCAGAGATAGCCGAAGTGGTTGCTACTTGCCGACAAGACGGCCACATGGCAGGGAAAGTCCTGATCCCCGACAACTAGCGTGAAGTCACACAACTTTCCCGTCTTCCTCCACTCGTTTAGAACCTGTAAGAAACAGAGGCGAGCAACTTAGAAACAGATTAAAAAACCCGGGTCCCGGGCCGGGGTTCGAACCCACGACCTCCCGAGCACAGACGCTCTAACCACTCGGCTAAAAGGTCTAGACCCATCGGCAGGGTCAGTTGGTAGCCCCTATAAACTCCCCACTGTTAAACTGCTCCCCCTTTTCTTCCCAAGATTCGTCCTCGAATCTTCCGAACTCGACATCCCTGGAGCGGCACTCTTTGCCAGAACTCCCAGGGCCGGTGCGGGAACCACTACAAGAAACAGAGGCGAGCAGTAGAAACAAACAAAAAAAACCTGGTCCCAGGCCGGGGTTCGAACCCACGACCTCCCGGGCACCAGCTTCAAAATCCGACGCTCTAACCACTCGGCCGAAAAGGAGGGCCTGCAAGGGGGGTCCCGACAACGCTCTACGCTGAATTCGGAAACTTCTCGATTACGTTTTAATACGATAAATTTCAAGTGGCCACAACGCATTACGTAGAATTAAAACGCCGAATACGCTCTACGCAAAAATATTAGAGCGGTCTGTCTACGCTCTACGTAGAATTAAAACGGCTGATTACGCTCTACGGAAAAGGGCTTGCGGGCCCCCGAAAAGGTCTAGACCCATCGGCTGGGTCAGTTGGTAGTGCCTATAAACCCCCCAATAGTGATGCATACCCGTTCACTGGACTTGGATCCGGACTTGTAAGAATGTTTAGGTTCAAGTCCAAAAAAACCTAAAAGTCAAGAACCGAGTCCGGACTTATTACCATAAAAGACCATTTCACACACCCTTTTCTTTCCAAACCACCTAAAACCTTCCGTAGATTGCAAAATCTTTGCTGCAAAATGAAGAAAACATTGCCATCGGGCATCGTCAAGTACCGGCCTCCATGTTATGTGGCCAAAGTTTCACCCTGACAAGGTTGCCAACATGCAATTTTGCATATGCCATGGGTTTAGGTCCAGACTTGCAAGTCCGGAACTGAACCTAAACCTCTAAACTTGAATCCGGACCTGAACCTAAAATTTGGTTTAGGTATGCACCACTACCCCCCAATGTTACAATGTTACAAACCTCCAACTGATGGCAACCTGACTTGTCCTCACTCGGAGCTTCTTCGCGAAGACTGACAAGCAAGTTTTCATCCTTCTCCTTCAAGTACTCCGATAGTATCTTCCAATGTTTCTTGTCTTCGAGTAAGACTTCTCCGGCGCTGTTCTTGGTGAGACTTACGCTGTCATCCATCCCGTCTTCACCACTGGCCATCTCGTCTGGAAATATAGTTCGGCAGAATTTATTTACTTTATTTATTTATTGATCTTGTCCTGCTGGCATTCCTGGCACAATATTTTTCAATAATTTCAGGTCTTAAATAGATCATAGACCCCCAAATTTTCTTGCCCTGCAGAGGCATAGTTACTTCCGCATTTGTTGCGTTTCGCTGCGGTGTGATGCGTTGCACGAGAAATACCCCCAAACCGTACCTATACAGATGGTACTGTATGTACAGAACGACAAATGTTGCGCTCAGCAGGACAAGGGTTAAAAACAGTTGGGTGGTACCTTTAGTTTAAGACAACTGATTTCCAAGGTAGCCCAATAGAACAAGTTACAAAGGACATAGACAATCAAATAATTAAACATAGAGATAATAAATAATATGAACAAAGAGAACAAGAAGTACTAGTAGTCAATCATTAGAAACAAGACATGTCAACCAAAACAAAGTCAAAATATTTGACCTTGACCTTTGTCTTCCTAAGACTTACCAACATACCAAATATCATCATAATCCATAAAGGGGTTATGAAGTTATGCTGACTACAAATGTGCCGAAACACAGACAAACACACAGACACACACACACACACACAGAGACAGACACACACACAAACACAGACAGACACGCCAAAAACAATGCCTCCATTTTTCATGGAGGTAATAACGGATGTTAAAAAGAAAATTAACAAGGAACGCCAAAATTCGAATTTCACTAAGCTAAATGTATGTTTTATCGTGTAGATATTTTTCAATGTGCAATTCTACTACGACAATTGGACTCCGAGATTGTGTAGTTGTTAACGTTTTTAAAATGATTGACGGATCCGTTGTACATCTTTGAACGCAATTCAGCTTTCTGCTGCAATGTTCGTGATTTTTAGCAATAAACCATTTTTGATTGATTGATTGATTGATTGATTGATTGATTGATTGATTGATTGATTGATTGATTGATTGATTGATTGATTGAACATCGGGGATCGAACCCTCGAAGTGCGGAGCTTACCGATCGATCCACATGGCTCACGTTGCTCTTCTATGGGGGCCTGCAAGGGGGTCCCGACAATGCTCTACGCTGAATTTGGAAACCTCTCGATTACGCTTTACGATAAACGCATTATGTAGAATTAAAACGGCGAATACGCTCTACGCAAAATGCGCCTGACTCTACGTTGAATTAGAGTGGTCCGTCTACGCTCTGCGTAGAATTAAAACGGCCATTACGCTCTACGGAAAAGGGCTTGTGGGGCCCGTCTATGCATTCTGAAATGTTACCAGTGATCTACGTAATTAATGCAGTTGCTAAAAATAAACAATATTCTTCTTTCATGTATTAAGAGCAGATACACATTTTTAGTAAACCGCACTTGTAACAGTTGTATGTATGTATATGGGAATGTGAATTAAATATAGTCAATTTTAGGTGCTTTCTTCATGAAAGACCACAGTCAAGTATGGCATAGCATGACATGGCCTATAAATGGTTTGTGAATTGGTTCACTGTACCAAGGACAGTATAATGTCCTTGACTGTATCAACTACCATGACATACCAACGTGCCTAGGGGCCCTTTTCCGTAGAGCGTAAATGGACCGTTTTTATTTATAATTCTACGTAGAGCGTAGACGGACCGCTCTAATTCAAACTAGAGCGTAATTGGCGCATTTTGCGTAGAGCGTGTTCGCCGTTTTAATTCTACGTAATGCGTTGTATCCACTTGGAATTTATCGTCAAGCGTAATCTAGGGTTTCCGAATTCAGCGTAGAGCGTTGTCGGGACCCCTCATGCAGGCCCCCCTCAAAGCCACAATTTTCTATATCCAGCCTTCGGCTGGCAAAAAATGAAGGCGACACAGTAGAAACACTCCAGAGAACAAACGTTAAGATTTGGCAACCATCTACTGGTAATTAATAAGCAAGAAACTTAGCCTTGCATTGTTCATACAGAAAAGAAATTCTTGTAAGTCCAAAGAGGAGGGAGAGGGGCGGGGTCAGTTTGACTACTAAATATTGTTGAACAGAGGGTCAAAGCACAATTAGATTTATAACCTTTGTCCTTTGTACTTTTAGCTATAATATTGTTCTGTGACTCTATACCTATTACTCATAACATTGCTGATGCTGAGGCATGCGTGGTACGTACCTGAGCTGGAATTCACCTTGCCTTGTACACAGAATGTAGGTCGTTCATCCGGGTCTTGCAACGGCAACATGAACAGCGACATTTAGCGATGTGGTGAAATAGTACATCCTCCGGTTATTAGCCTTCGACTAATCAGAGAGGGCCTGCAAGCCCTTTTTCGTAAGGCGTAATCAGGCCGTTTTAGACGTAGGCAGCCTCCGCAAAAATCAACGTAATTCGTAATAGTACATTAGCCGCAAATCGTAAAGTCGTAATCAGCTCTGAGACTTTAACGTAATTCGTAATAGACGGCGAAAATTTTGCGTAATGGCGTAATCACTACCCCCCCCCCTTGCAGGCCCTCATCAGAAGGCTCCATTTCCCATGGGTTATCAGGCCAAAACCTAAAAAGTGCGCGGTTATTCAGATAACCGCCCATTTTGGGACCGTGCCATTATACGGGGGACAGGACGCTATTTATCTATTAAAAACGTATTGTAATTTATTTTGAATATTTGTTTTGAAAATACAGCACAATTAAATGAAATTTGAACAGAAAAATACAAATCGCAGGCCTTGCCTTTTAGTTACAGCTACAAGTGTAGGATCTATGATGAATATATCATACTTGTGTAGTCCCTACTGGAAGATCCTGTAACAGTATTGCAGCATTAAAATTGTGGTCAATCGTTAGTCTATACTTCACTACAACAAGCACAGTACTTTTTTAGGAGACTCCAAAATCGTTATCAATCGTGGTCAATCGTTAGTCTATACTTCACTACAACAAGTACAGTACTTTTTTAGGAGACTCCAAAAGTCCTCTGCCATGGTTCTATCCCCCCACCTTGTTAAATATTGTCTGTAAAACGTTAAACCCTACTGTAGACAGGAGCACCTGTCCCGTGCTACAGACATGGCCTGTTTCAGCAGCCTCAGCACGTTCTGGTCGTCCCGCAGACTGCCCTGCGCGAAGTCACTCGTCACGAAGATCGCAGGCAGGTTCTCAAAGGCGAACCTCTTCACGTGGTCCGACAGTTCCGGTAGGTAGTAGTCTTCGGCAAGTTTCATCACCTGGAGGATAATAAAATTAAGTATTCAAATTCATTCATGTCCAAATACAATCAATTTTTGATGTAAGGTTAAAGAGATACTCGACCTCAAAATGATGTCCCAAGTTTCATCACATGTAAAGGGTAAAAAAAAGGTAAAGGTTGCCCATAGATCTTTTGAAGATACCGTAGGGGCAGGATCTAGGGCGGTATTGAAAGGTGGAGCCCACTGCCTTTTACCTCCCCAACCGAAGCCAGGTACCCATGTTACATGTAGGATGTGTCTTTCCTAATGGCCAAAAACACAACAAGTTCTAGGAATAAATCCAAAGTAAAGCAAACCACGATGAGGTTTTTGTTACCTGTACGCAATTGTCCGGCCGTAGATTATGTTTCAGATACCTACAGCAGGCGTCTGTTACATCAGGGAACTGTAGCAGTGAGGAGGCGTGCACCAACTCCCCCACAGTCTCACCCGTGATCCGTATTCTCCCCGTGTACGAGTAGTCCAACAGGAGACTCAAGGAGCCCGGCGTAACGTCTTCCAGACGCACCTGTCCAACAATTAACCATCTTCACTTTCACTTACTTATGTTACCAGCAATTGCAACTCAGGCCATTTTGACCTGCTTTTCAGGTAAACCTGGATACACATAAAAAACACACACAGCAAATGTATAGTACATAAAGCAATTAATAGCTATAACATCTAGAACATCAACTAGATCAAGTTCTATTCCTGTTTTTTTGTTTTAAATCAAACTGTTCTCCAACTCAACCTGGACGGGGGGCGATACCAACTTCCGACGAACTTTGATGTAGTGCTGACGTCACACATGGGTAAAAGTAACATCTCTAACAAATAACAGTTTAAATTTGATTTTAATTATAAACTATAAAGGTGGGGCATTGCGTCTTCCGTGGTTTACAGAAGAGAAGTCAAACCCTTCAGACATAGTTTAAGACAGTTATAGTTCTAGACAGCTACCTTTATCATGTAGACTTTAGTTATTTTATACTCTGTTTAATTGCTCTCTTATGTTTTGTAATTTGCAATTAGCCTCCGGGCACGAATTTGCAATAAACCTTTTCTATAAACTCCAATACCTTTTCTTCCAGCCGTTCCCTAAAGTCCCCCAGAAGCAGGAGGCGGAAGTACAGGCTAGTCGCCGCCAGGACGGCCCTACATCGAAGAAAGAGAAACACTTATGAACGCGATCACCAAGAAGGCACATATAACATTACCTAAAACACTCTCAGATACTTTTACACTACTCATGTCATGTTCCGACGAAACTTCCCTGTACATAGGCCAGTATATATCCAACGCTTTAGTTAAAAGAAATCATATTATATCTGACTCAACCAACTGATGTACATTCTAGCTTATACAGTCATTATATAACTCAAGACATATACATTATCACGTAAGTCATGTTCCATATATATACATGTACTATATTACCTTTTTTGAAAAAGTATAATGTTATTGTCGATACACAGAACTTGTAGGTATTATTAAATATAGACGTGAGAGTAGATGTTAGTTAGATATGACTTGACTTGACCTGTGGCATGGAAACTCCTCATCCCCGGCACACAGTGTAACGTCACACAACTTTCCCGCCGTCCTACACTCGTTCAGAACGTCCAACTCCGCGTTTCCATGCCAACGGGACTTGTCTTCACACGTGCAATTACTTAGACATTTCCCTTGCGTGTTTTCGTCCTTCAGTGTCTCAGACACTTTCTTGGAATGTTCCTTGTCTTCGAGGAAAAGTTCTCCGTCGCTGTTGAAGACGTGACGTATGCCGCTGACGTTCTCTCCACATGTGACGTCATCCATTACGTCATCAGTACTGGCCATCTCGATTGCATGAAATATCGTTCGGTAGAATCTGGGTGAAGATATGAAATGAATGAAAGGTTTATTCGTCAAAATACACATGGCAGCCATAGGCCAGATGGCGTGTTTCACAATAATGACAGATACACTTAGAAAAACATTAAACGTAATTATTAAAAGGAAGTGATTCTTAAAACTTACAATCGGATATGTACAAATCTCAGCGTTCTGTGACCATGCGCACTGTTTTAGTATCACTGGTACTGCTTCATTATACTCGTTTAACAGATAGGTCATATGGACGATCGGACTGTTCTGAAATCGTGATTATCAAAAACGTTCAACATAGCATAATGACACTGGCCGATCAGGGACATGACATTGACCGTTTCAAATAGCCTCTACCAGGCTTCGGGAGGCGGCTGGAAAGAGTAGAAATCGGCCAAATAGAAAGATAGCATGTCGAGGTTCGCTTCAGTTGGTTCGAGTGAAGAGTACATTTTGCCGGGAGCGGCAAACCGTTCTCTCCAGCAGACCAACTCCCCTGCCATGTTATCTCTCTATTTGGCCGATTTCTACTCTTTCCAGCCGCCTCCCGAAGCCTGGTAGAGGCTAGTTTCAAAATGGCAACGGCCGTTGAACATGAACTGCGCCATGCATGCCGCCGGTAGGGCATGGCGCAGTTGAATATATGAAACAATACTCGATACTACTATGCCATTCAGTGTCCGTTCGACGTTAAAGTCCCAACAAGGTATACGTAAATGTATATGCACGACCGGAACAAGCTTAGAATTACCGAGGAAGTTATAGCTTCCTTGCAGTTACCAAAAGAACGTGCAATCACCGACGGTCAGAAGACTTCTCCCCAACGTCACCGACCCACAGCTAGTGTCAGTGTTGTTAGCTTCAACGATGACGTGAATATTCTAAATATAACGCGGGTCCTAAGTTCGCGAACTTGACTCTCCAAGCAGATATAGTAGGTATCTGGCGAAAACCAACACAGCACGAAAACAGACATTTAAGCAAACTTTCCGCAGTATATAAATAAGTAATAAAGGTGAGAAATATTTCAATTGACTTGACGACTTCGTAAAGGCGACTGAAAAACAAATTCCGCCTTTCCGTCACCTTTCAGTGTGCTTAAATACGACGTAAATATATTCCACATCTTTACGCTTCCTTTACAAATCCGTAAATATATAATAGCAAACGCCGCTCTTTGCTCTTTGGACTTGGATTGAGCCGGAAATTGCCAGTCTCCCACAGAAACGTATTATATAATATACCAAACAAACTGTTGGGCACCGTCCTTTAGACATGCCAGTCAAATGTCAAAGGTCAACGACCTCCAGGCCACTGACAAAACAAATAGTACTGTCCAGTGACATCCCGATTTGTTAGCAGAGCTGGTCAAAGTAGCTGGGATGACTCCATAGAGGAGTTGATCAACTTTAACAGGCTTTTTTTTTCAAACAATGTGTGAAAATGTTTGTGTCTTTATCGACTTAAGCTCAAAGTCAAGTACTTTTCCCGGATCTGTAAAAATCGAGACGCTAAAAAAAGCACACCCATTGTACAATACCCGCATCACATGTGACAATCTGCCAGCTATAGGTTTTATAGACACGGCGCCTTTTTTCGGTTTTCGGCAATCATTATAACGGACAACTAGATCAGAATTACTGGAAATGTCCCTCAGACAATACACAAAATGTACTGGTATGTAGTATAGCAGCAAGGTTTTTCGTTACCCAATGGTTTACCAATTGTCCTAGTCTATCGTCTTGGTATAGGAAAATCACTTCAAATTTCACGACACTTTGTCTATAACCAAGGACATTGTCGTCTATAGCAGAGTCTTTATCCTTGTCTTAGATAAAGGACAATATAAAATGTCCTTGTCCTAACACAAGGATAAAATCGCTTTCAACTGACCTTCCTCAAATTCGCACGAAATGCTTTATTATGCTAGAAGACCGAATCAAAGTCTTTAAACACAAGCAGATTATTTTCTCTGCATTCTACATACTCTACGTACGTGTGTCTTTCTTTTGTAAAATATGTATTTTTAAGCCAAACCACTAAGTCAATCTTGTTATCGACTCTTTCAGACTACTTTAGTATTTGTTCAACCTTGCTCTAACACAAGGATGAAGACTGCTAAACGACTTTCACCCAAGCAGATTATTATATGTTTTTCTGCCTTCCACATACTCGTCACATTGCTTTCTGGTGTCTCTCTATTGTAAAAGATCTATTTTTAAGCCAGAACCACTAAGTCAATCGTGTTATCGACTCTATCAGACTACTTAGTATTTGTTCAACCTGCTCGGCACAAGTCGCGTGGGCAACATGTGACTCACTCGGGTTTGCGGTTATGCAAGTGAACCTCGCGGGAAATAGGAGGAAAGAACAACAGAAAGGTTACATGTAAATGCTACATTATTAACGTTCATAAATTAAACTTCAAACTGTATTTTTGAATATAAAGCCTTTCTTTTGAGGTGAAAATTATTTATCTGTGTAAGGATCAGTCGTTGTTTTTCTTGTATCTGGCTATCGTCATAATCAAGCGACGTAAATGCACTGTACGCCAATGACGTCATACCGCAGCGCCATGATCATCATACCTCCCGCTAAGCGCAATGCGCAGGTGCACTCATTCTACTGTGACCCTGCCACCTCATCGTGTCTCCAGTCATGTGGGCATTAGTGGCAATCATTCCGGATCGCACCATGCGCCTTCAGTATGATGCAGCCCGCTCTGGAATACGGCTGGAAACATGGGAGTCGGGCTGGAATCGTTGGACCAGCGGCTGAAAGATTTCGCCATGCAGAATTTGGACAGGAAGCTGCGCTGTTACAGCGGACACCAGTTGCGGCAGGACCTGAAGAAATGCCTGTTCAAAGTACATCACGAGTTTCGCACGGGTAAAGCCAAAGCCAAAGGCAAGGGGCAGGTGGATACTGAGCCAAGGTTAGTGTAAGCTAAATCAAACACCATAATGCACTTGATAATAGTCTCTACCAGACTAACTATGCTGGCTATATATATGAGAATATTTGCCAGGGGAGTTTGGCAGCCTTGTGGGTTTGACTGGCCGGAGTTCGGAGGGAAAGAAACTACTAGTACCTCCGGACTCCCCTGGCCAATTTTACCGATTCTACGATCCGTATCCCCGGAGAAAGGCCTGGTGGAGGCTACTTGATACAATCGATAATATACTAGAAGTAATCACTTTGAGGACGGCCATATAACGTTATCTACTGATATTCTTCGCATGTGCAGTATCATATATACCGGTTTATCGATCTAAGAGAGTGTTGTGTATACTTAAGAGCCAACGTTGCGCTGTTGATGCTTCCTGTCTTGTGATGTTGTCGCAGATTTGTGGTTTGTATGACGAGAGCTTACATGCGTCTGTATATGTGCATAACTCAAGGCCATGTTATGTTTATATAGTAGAGGGGATTCATTCCTCAAGCTAACCGACATCTCATACACGCAGTCGTCCCTCAATAAGATACCTGGCCGCATAGTTCCCGTTTAGAACTTTTATTCAGCCTGCCACACTGAAGTTTATGTTTCTGTTTGCCTGTCTGTAAACATCAAGGGTATTATGTTTACCGGTTCGTACCTGAGGTAGCGTTTTTTCGGAGTCAGAACTGACTTTTCGAAGCTCGCAAAAAAAAAAAAAATGCACATGAAGACACCTGCTGATAGTCAGGTGCAACAGATTAAGGGACGGTTCAGAAGTTATTGGGGGTGGGTGTATAAATGGAATATGGGAGAATCCTTGCAGTCGATTTCACATACAATGTACAAATTTGCACAGCAAAGATTTGTCCCGATGAATGAAAAAAGAAATAGATGAAATATCGATCAAAGAAGAAAAAAAAATCACAGAAAATCCCCCTCCTCGCTTTTTTTTTTTGTCTTACCCACCACGAATGCTAGCGATTATCCTTTTCTTGTCTTCTTCCTTTTACCCCTTTTGTGATGGTCAATTTTTTGAGGAAGTTTAAGCCGGCAAACCGGACAATCTAATCACTTCCTTAAGACAATTAGTTGTTCTGTTTTGGTCAATCTAAATTTGTCCATCCCCAAAAGGTACCCAGTGAAGCGAAATATTAACTCTCTGTCCAAACTTAGGCATTGTCATTCTATTATCTACAAAACAGGGGTTACTAGTGAATTTTTTTACTTTTTTGTTGCCGATTTTTTTTTTAAATAATGCTATGCCTTTTCCCCAAAAGAGTCTAAGTCGCGTTAAAAAAGGGGCGACAAAAAATACAGTAAAGACGACCCTTCCCACATCTGCTTGGAGATTTTGCCTTGTGATGTTTGGATCAGGTGGGCACGTGAAACTCACATGTAATCATTCACGCCGCGGACCAATCACAGGCGGCGTTTCATGTCCTCGCGAAAAATCGACCAATGGCAGGCCGCGTCATATCTGGGTATCATGTGACTAAAAGTCATATGACGGGGCCAAGATGGCGCTCGAGCGCCTTGCAAAATTGCTCCCACATCGAAAAAACGCAAGAAACACACCCGTCAAGGGAAGAAAGGCCGACCAAACCGAACCGTGAGTGTAGCGACATATCTAGTCTACCTACAGTAATTTTTCTAGCTTTATTTAGGGATGTTTAACGGTGTTGTGGTGTATTTTTCACAGGTCTGTCGCTAACGCCGATGCTCCTCGAAGGTTTGTACCAGTTCTTTTCTTCTTCAGAAATTTGAGCTACAAGTTATCTGGTCAGCTGTTTGCTGCACAACTGTTTACGCTAGCCATTTTCCTCATAGCTTCGGAAAAAATATAAAACTAGAATACTTTCAGAACCTTCTTCCTTTGTCATCTAGTTACCGTGTTCACGAATCACGATACATAAAATTATGACTCACCCGAAAAAATTAATAACGTCATGCCAAGTTTCTGCAGAGCGCTTTCAACAATTTTTTTCGGTGCTGATTTTCCTAAAATAATTCGTGCAGTTTATTTGGACTATTCTTTCTGCAAGATTTTATGAATAGAAGGGAGTCCTTTTTGCACAGACTCAGTGTTTGCAGGCGACTTTGTTTACTCTCCAAGTAGAGGTTTGGGTTTTGGGGGTATTTTTAGCGTGTTTTTAGGCTTTTTTTTAATCGGGGTTCCTCTTTTGCACTGAATTTTTTTCCCACCAAGAGAAACTCCGATAAAAAAAAAAGCCTAAAACACGCTAAGGATACCCCCAAAACCCAAACCTCAGCTTGGAGAGTAGACTTTGTTTACAAACTGACAGGAAGCTAGAGTGGTTAGGTACAGGAAACATCGGGGGTGTTACGGAGGTCACCAGACGATGATACATGAGATGACTCACAAAACAGTTGTAGTCTTCTCAGAATCTCCGTTCTAAATCTTTATTTACTTTATTCTTTACTTAATCCTCCATAAAAGTTGAAGTGCATTTGTGTGTTTTAGGTACAGTTTCGTGGAATATGTAAAGTTTTTACACCTAATAATTTTGTCAACAAGTTTATTTTCTTATACGGATGATTTCAATAATTTGTTTTTGTATGAAATTCTAGTCTTGACCCCATTAAAAATTTATTTGACATAACATATTGAATGAATGGGCCACCCAGAACAATGAAAATTCACACCTCATAATTTTGTCACACAAGTTTATTTTCTTTGTTATTTGATATTAACTAAATTATCTCAATAAACCTTAAATAATGTTTTTGTAGTCTTGACCCCATTAAAAATCAATTTGACATAAAGAATGGGCCTCCTAACCATCTGAAAATTCAATTAAGAAATAAATAAAGGAACAATTTTTCGCCAGATTCGTCATTTTGTCAACAGTCAACAGACCTCAGCCATCAGATAAGCAGCAAAAAGCAGCTGTTCTGTTTAATCATTAGTGAATTCCACTGACTAATGAGCTGGAGTTTTCTTTTCTACACTCTTATGATAAACAAGGATGTTTAGATTGGGATGATTAGGCAGTTTTACTTTGAATACACCTTTGCAAAATGTACTTAGTTTTTTTTTGCATAAAAATCTTGCTTCAACAAAAAGACTTGCACTTGGTGCAAGCACGTCTAACCCCTGGTTCGGGGAAAAATGATGTTAAAATTGGATAGAAAAAAAAAATTGTGAAATGTGGTCCTTCCCGTTTCTTTCTTGAACTTCCTATGTCTTAGATCCTCTGGAAGTTCTAATCCAAAGAACCAGTTTTAATCTGGCTTGCAACAGATCAAGTCAAGGTTTTTGAACAATGGAAATTTGGCTTATCTTTTGAGCCCTTCAACCGTTGTTTGTTTTAGTGCTCCTAGGTTGCTTAGTTTGTTTTTTCAGTCTTTTTGAAACAAAAGACACAATGTATCTTTTTTATTGTTACACTGTGAATAATAATAAAGTTTGAATTTAAAAAAATAATTTTAAAAAAATTGAAACAAAGACTCCTGGAATTTGAAAAGCAGTTAATTTTTTTTAAGCTCATAGAATCATGTGGAAGGATTCTGTTTGTATTTGTATTTTATCTATGCCAAACTGTTACTCAGGCAACTTGATAGATTTTGAAAAAAAAAACAGTTGCTCGAGTAACAGTTACTTTGGTATTGTATTACCTGTATGTATAACCTTGATGGACCTACCCTATGTATGCTTATTAGTGTTGATGTTTTTTTTTTCCCCTCAGTTGGAAGCCTCCCTCGTTTGACAAGAGCCAAGTTCGTTTGCTGATATTCCGAGATGTTGAGCCCCAGGGGAAGAAACTCCTGTTTGATTCCAAGGCCATCAGAGTTGTGCAAGATAACGATGAGGTAGGGAGACTTCTTTCCAGAGACTTTTGGAAATAGCCTGGGTGCCAAACCCATAGCACACTGGATACAAAGTATCAAAGTTAGAATACTGGACACTGAACAGGACTACTTTCTAAGAGGCATTAAGGAGGCTATATATATCAGAGCACTTCAGCCTTCACTTAATAGAGATGGTGGACGATATAAACTCCCTGGCACTTTTGATCAATTGCTTACGTCACGTATCAGTAAAGTCTCGTGTGAATAAGGTCACGTGTTTGTAAACCGTAACTCTCGCGAGATCACGTTTTGAAGTGATTGGTCATTAATTATCCTGATGAAGGCGACAGTGGTCGCTGAAAATTTGATCCCTGTAAATACTAGTAGTGTGTTGGAATAAAGTTTAACGTTTTACTATGTATCTGAGATATTTTGTGTCCAGTGTGCTATGGGTTTGGAACCCAGGCTATTTGGAATAAGTGCAGTGACCAAGGCCAAAATGAATGGACACAGACTATACACAAATTTGTATATTTTGCTATATATTTTAGATTGTAAAGCTATGTATGTGTAAGGATATGTGCATATATAGTGTATGTAGTGTATGTATAATATTATATGTTTATGGATTTGGTAGGACTTCAAGCATGTAATCTTTATCTAATGTTGTATATTTTTTCTGACCCTGACTTTTTCCATCAAGACCTTAATGAAAAGTGGCCAGCAGGCTGATTTTGATATGTCATGAATGCATGAAGGCTTGAGCAAACAAACAAATAAACAAACAAAGAACTTGTATCTGTTCCCACCCAGTCTGACAGTCCGTGTCGAGTGTTTGGGGCGGGAAAGTTCGCCCAGCCTGTCACTCGTCAGTCCAGTAAGGATGGGTCAACACCACAGGGCGGTACTGGCTTCAAGTATCAGGTACGATCTGTTTTATCTACTTAGTATATATGTGTAAAAGACCTGGATGGGGTGTGTGAAGAAAGACATTAGAGAGCTCGGCCTTGCCGGTGTTAACCCACTGGATAGGGCTGCCTGGAGGAGCGGTGTGAACACCAGTACTACTAGCCGACTGCTGCCGACCCCTGTGGCAGGGACAACAGCAGCAGCAGTATAACCAAATCCTGGATAGTGAGTATGTGTTGGATGGTGACCAGCTGGGAAAAGAAAAAGAGGTAGACTCAAAATCACTTGGGGAAGAACTGTACCTAAATCATCTTTTCTTACCTGGTATAACATAATGATTGTTGTGGTTTATATTTTCAACCCCACCCCTTACCATCACCCTTACACATTGAGTTACACAATCTGCCTATTGTACTACCGTAGCCCCAGGCTTCAAGTAAAGATCTATTTGTGTCACGAGTTTTGGTTTAGCCACGGTCCAATTACTTCAACCTGTAGTCTGTTTCTCTACACCAAGACTTCCCCCAATCATTAGGACTTCCGAAGCTTACTAATGAAACACATGTGAATTGGTGTCAAACCCTTCTAACTCTGGTAGGGAAATAAACCTTTTGCATCTAAAATGAAATCAAATACAGTGCTATAGCTGATATACAGATATTCCATGGAATATGTAACGTAATTTGTAAGATAGCTACATTTTCTGTACCTTTAAGGGACACTGTGTTTGTGGTCACAAAAATAGAACAGTCAAACAGGTCTAGCAACTTGCAATTTTCTATAACAACCAAAGAAACCCGGACATTATTAGAGCTGAACCACTGTTAAGAGATACAGTGAGCCACACCCATGATGATATTTGCATAAGAAAAGAAAAGTGCTATGCCATACAGTGGGGTCCCACAACCTCATACTTAGCCTGGGTACCAGACCTCACAGCATACTAGGCTCAAGTCAAAGTTATCCTGTGTGTTTGAGCCTAGAGTGTGCTGTGGGTCTGGCACCAAGGCTACTTCATACTAGAATTTTTGTGATACAGCTTTTGAAGATTTGCAGGTCAATACTACAAAGTTTAACAGTAGGGTGGTAGTGTCTTAGATCTGTTGAGCAGTTTTATTGAGATATCAAACCCGTGATGTTTCCCAGTTTAGATCCTGGCAGGTCACCAAGACTGTCATGTGGGTGGGTGAGGGTTCACATGGGGTCAGTAGCCTGTTACTGTTATACAGGCTCTAAATGTTGGGATGATTTCGCCCTCTTCCCAAGAGCTTGTGGCCACACTTGAGAAAACCATTCCCATTCCCAGAACTACCAATAGGAGCTCAGGATTCTTTTTTACTATGAAAATCAGTCCAATAGGAGCTCAGGATTCTCTGTCACTATGGAAACCAGTCATCGCAGCCTCCAATACTATATAACAGACAGTTCTCAGTCTTAACATCAATTGGTCCATGTAAAGCTGGTGTGTTATGCGGAATGGCGGTTATACGGACTATACATGACAGATGTTAGCATAAATACACAGAAGCCGAGGTCATGAAGGTCTACTTTAACTGTAAGTGTGTGTATGTTTTGTCTTTGTCAACTGTCCCTGTCTTGTTTGCTGCCCCCAGGACAAGTTTTGATTCTGACACAGTTGTTGTCTCTTTCCTTCCACAGTACCTGAGACCAGGATCAGATGTCAAGCTGTTGGGAGAAATGATGTTTGGATCCATCGCGCTGTCCTACCAGGGTTCTACCTTAAAGATCCACAACATCAGGTGAGATTCTCCCTACCCTACAAACATGGAACAGTCCAAGTATATCCCAGTAGCAGGCAATCGTGAGAAAAATGTATCTGAAAACTGTCATTAATTCATGGAGATATTTTCCTTTTAAATATAAAGTAGTTAGACCATCCAGATTCTTAGAGTCTTGTTGACATCTTTTTTTGTTGAGGTGTATATTTTCATTCTGACATTATTTCTAAAACTTTTTTTTTGGTATTTTCTCCAGAGTTCCTCCACAGCTGATGCTGACCAAAGTCTTCACAGTTAAACCAGTCAAGGAGGCTTCGCTGTGAGTAAAACCTTCTTCATAGCAAGTCTTACAATACAGGAACAGAATGTTTTACATTCATTATTTATTCATTATGAAAATTTGGATGTTGCATGTCAATCTGTAATACAGTAAAAAACATATGGTATTAAAAATGACTTATCTCACAGAGTTCTGACAGCCAGGACTGATGGGTACTCAGTAAGGAGGCCCAATCAGGCTGACAGCGAGAAATTGTGTAAAACCATCCATCCGATTCAGTCCCATAGCTAGTCGGTAGCCTTAGGAGCCACAAAGCATTCAACTTAAGATTTCCACCTCCTGTGGTCCAATTCCATCCTGGCCAGTTCATGTAGGGTTTTTTCCCTGTTACTTGTGTAGCACATGTTAACTAAACCCAAACTCAACATTTTCTTCCCAGAGAGGACAGTTGTGACAGCCAGGACCTTCTGACAGGACCGAAGACCATCCTGAACCTGTCTAACCGCTCCAGTGGCAGTGCCTCCGTGGCCCACAGTATGCCCATGGCAGTACCCAAATCACCAGGCCCCGAGAACCAGAGGGAAGATGATGACAGTGGCATTGTGGCATCAGGTGAGAGGAAGTTTTTTTTGTTTTTCACTCCAACATGCCATTACCCAAGACAGAGGACAATACTCATTTTCACCTGGGTGAATTGAGGAAACATAAAGTGCCTTTTCCATGAGCACAAGATTGGTGACATGGCAGGATTTGAACCTGGGACCTCTTGGTTCTGAGTCGAACACTCCGCCATCATGCCACATGACCCCCTGTTCCAGCCATTTCTAGCAACAGCCCATGGTGACCCCATTTCGCTACTAGCTAGCTACAGAACACTGTATTGTTAGGTGGTGGCACAACAAAGAACAAGTCCTGGACTTACGGACAAGTGGCTGCTTCCTACAGTATGATTTTGGCTACTGTAATGGTCTACATAATTATCATTTCTATTTCTACCTCCCAGCTGCCTCTAACAGTAGCCTGGTGACTCCAACAGTTTCCACCAGTTTTTTCAGTTATAGTTTGAGGAAACTTGACAATGATTATTTTTTGAGGTTCCTTGTTAATGATAGCCCGGTGTCCAATTCCCATTCTAGCTCCAAACAGTACTGCAGCAGAACTTGTAGTTTTCATATCTTTTAATTGTACTGTATTTCTCTGTTCCAGCTGCATCTAACAGCAGCCTGGTGACCCCGTTCCCCTCCCCAAGCTCTTCCTTCTCTAGCACAAACTCCAACAGTTTCCACCGACGCTTCATGCGCAGCCAGGCCACCAGTATGGAGTATGGGCTCATGCGAAGATGTTCAGGGGACTTCTCTGGATTCTCCAACAACGATGACGTAGGTTTTTTTTTTTTGAGTCTCAGTGTAACAATGTTATATGGTCGTGTTTGAACAGGTGGCTGGCCCCGTTCAAAGGAGGGACTAAACTGGCAAGAATACATCACTAAATTACGTTGTTACATTTGTTTGTTTGTTCATGAAATACTCAAACTGGTTGACTGGCCGCTTTTCATTGTGATCAGGTACAGGTTACGTAATAATTGAAAATCCTAAGAAATCTATACGTCGATAGTCATAATGAATACATATTTAGACATTTATCCTGACACATACAATAGTATTACAAAACACAACTAAATGGATGTTGGTATTTTGGTCATTTCAGTTATTGCAAAAAAGTTTCTTAAAAGAGGACAGAGTTGGATCAGTGTGTCTGTTCCAGACAGTGGGTCCATGGTAGCTTAAGAATTTTCCTTGCAGTTTTCTTTCCTTGAAGCTCTCTTGCAGAAATTATTTGTTTATTTGTTTGTTTGTTTGTTTTCTCCAGTCGCTGTCGTCCCCTCCCTCCTCTGGGTGCAGTCGAGGCCGGAGTCCAAAGATCGGCGTCGCTGTAATTATCTCACTGCCTGAGTCTGACGAGGAGAGCAGCAGGTATGGTCCAACCTTTTCCTGTAGTGGTTAGGTCCAGTTTAGCAGTAGGGTAGATTAATAAAGGAATAGTCCACTCTAGAATTGGGGGTGTTTTTCAAGAAAGCAACAGGTATGGTCCACCCTTTTCCTATAGTGGTTCAGTCCAGTTTAGCACTAATGTAGGTTGATGAAGGAACAGTCCACTATAGAAATGGGGGTGTTTGTCATTTGTCTTACTGTCTAAGCTCAAGTCTGACATAGACATTATCAGCAAGGTATCAGGTACAGCACGCAAAATCTTACCCTAGTCACGAAGTGGTTTGGCCCGTTTTACCATCAGTGTGCTGTGCTGAAGGTTTAGTCCACTCCAGTGAGGGGGGTCCTTTGGTTGATCCAGATACCCAGCATATTTTACAATAGTGGTAAGACAATAATACTGTCAAAGACAGTAACGTACTGCATTCCCATTTCAGGATCAACCTCTATAAAAATCAAAAAGAGTAACTTACTATATAGGCTTACCTGGAAAATTGAGACAGAAGTGCAGCACATTTAATTCTACATTCTTTTTATTGTTCCATTTCAGACAATTCCAGAAGTTTTTCTTCTCCCACTTCACCCTGCTGGAAACCCACATGCACAAGCTGAGGATGGGAGTGGAGCGCGCGCTGAGGAAAACTTCACAGTACTTCATACAGAGGTGTATAGAGGTGAGTTACTGGGTCTTCTGTCTCATACACTGAGGAAAACTTCACAGTACTTCATACAGAGGTGTATAGAGGTGAGTTACTGGAGTCTACTGTCTCATACACTGAGGAAAACTTCACAGTACTTGATACAGAGGTGTATAGAGGTGAGTTACAGGGTCTTCTGTCTCATACACTGAGGAAAACTTCACAGTACTTGATACAGAGGTGTATAGAGGTGAGTTACTGGGTCTACTGTCTCATACACTGAGGAAAACTTCACAGTACTTCATACAGAGGTGTATAGAGGTGAGTTACAGGGTCTACTGTCTCATACACTGAGGAAAACTTCACAGTACTTCATACAGAGGTGTATAGAGGTGAGTTTTAAGTCTTTATAATCATTCAACTGTCTTTTGGAACACTGCTGGACTCCTGTTTGCAAAGTTAAAGTCCTTCCCATACCTTTCAGTGTATAGAGGCAGTGCCCATCTTTGTTTCTATAGCCCTCAGTTCACCCTGGCTGCTACAGTAGGGCTAGTCCACTGGTAAAGCATTTAAGTGAATAAGACTCTTAGTGAGAGTACTACGTAGCACTACTATGATCCACATTTCAGGCTTTGGGCACATTGAAGATCCCACCACACTTACCAAAAAGAGTCCTGGTCTTAGTGGATCAAACCTTACAGTCTGGCCTTACGTAGCTTGCACCTAATGTACAAACCTGCAGTTTACTTATTATACAAAACATACAGACAAACAGACAGACATTTTCTGTGCGATATTCAAGGCGTTACACTAGAGCCCAGTCCTTAAATAAACAATGAATAACTAAATATTAACTAAATTTCCATTTTGTACATTTGCAGGCATTAGACACATTCCGCGAGGATGTGTGGCACCTGTACACGGCAGTGAGAATCCAGGAGCCCGTCTGGCTCAACATGATGTCTTACTCCAAGCAACGACGGCAACTGGTCGAACACTTCCTACAGGAACTCATCGTCACCATGGACCACTGTAACAACAAAACCAACAACTAGTGAGTTTCCACAATGTTTTTTTCATATACATAATATACTGTATATCCTGTTTCTCTTTCCTTGTGCACATGTGGTCTGTGTAGACCAATTGTTAGGGACCCTTCATCTTGACCAAGAGGTTGGGAGTTTGCTCACCCGGCAAGCATGCTATTTAAAAGGATTACAGTCCTTAGGACAGGATGTTAAGCTGTGGTCCACTGTTCATTGTGCTAGTTGAAAAGAGCTAGGGGAATTTCCCCGGTACAATGAACCTGTGAATACTGTACATAACGTCTGTCTTCTCTGTTACGTCTAGTGGAAGTTTAGCTCTTAAGTGAGATAAAAACTGACCACCTTCACTGCATCAGTTCCATTTATTCTTATTTATTTATTTATTTCTGTCATACAGGGTGGCCCATTAAGTGATTACACTTCTTTCCAATGGGTCCCTGTTTTACACAACAAAACACAACAGTCACAGTTCTTCTGTTACACTAAGTTACTGCTTAGTACCATGAAGTAACTTTCTTTCTTTCCGTCCTCCCCAGTTTCCTGAGCACATTGCTGACCGCGGTGCTGACTCATCACCTGGCGTGGGTTCCCACGGTTACACCGGCAGGTGCCACGCCCCCCAGCAGGACATACCTGGACAAACACTCATCAAAAACGGTGAGGACACACAGTCAGCTTTTAACACAAAGACCTTCAGATGTACATATAAACCAGGCTTTAAGAATCTGCTGTAACTAGTTCTGTCAGTTCATTTTAGTGGTGCTGAAGAAGAGGCACACATTCAGATTTACATTGTACATGTAAACTAGGCTTTGAACACAATGCAGCGTATGCCACTACCCGGATGTCTAACCTTTGTAAGCATAAACAACACTCTTCCAAAATGGAAAAGCCAGACATTCAGATGAACATTGTAAAACTACATGTACATGTAGGAATTGAGCACATGCATTGCCAACATTAACAACTGAGTGTATCTCACTACCTGAATGTCTAGCCTTTGTTAATAAGTAAGTATAAACAACATTCCTCATAGAATCTGTGTAGTGACTCTATCTTTATTTTTACAAAAATCAATGTTCTGATTTTTCTCTCCAGCTGGACATGCTAGCCAAGACCCACCCCTATAATCCACTTTGGGCACAACTCAGGTGAGAGTATGCATGTTATGGCCAATATTTACTCTCAGGGTAAAACTACTAAAAGTCAAATTCTGAATTTTCTGACTGACTGCAGTTTTTTACTTTTTGACTGCATGATTCTGCACTTAGAAATCGTTATGCAAGAATTCAGGATGCAGGAAAGACCTTTTTCCACAGGAATTCGAAGAATAATGTTCTAAACTTCTGCCAATGTTGCTGCCTTTCCCAGTGACCTGTATGGTGCAATAGGCTACCCCATCAAACTCGCGCGGACGGTGGTGACTGGGAGGAAGGCAGAACTCGTCAATCGGCTTCTCTACCTGCTCAGCTACTTCATTCGCTGCAGTGAGGTGGGTTTACTTGTTTTTCTTTATTTTGTGTTAACGTATATTTTTTATTCACAGGAAAACATATAGGATAGAGAAGACATGATTTGTTAAAACAGACGTTACATTTCGATAACATAAAAAAGTATGAGAAACTATTTTAAGCTGTGACTGCGACTGCAACTTTTTAAACAGTCGTGTTGGTGTTGAAAACTGTTTCTGTTTTGACTGATTTCTGTCAGGATCCGTGGCACTTCTTGGTATTTGCTTTTGTTCTTTCTGCAATAAAACAGCCCCCATGTTTTCTGCCCCTCTATGAAGAAAGCTGTGATTGTTGCAACTTTTTTAGCACTCAATTTTTTTTCTGTCTATCCCTGAAGGTCCATGAGAATTCGGAGGAACGTGACGAAACAGGAGAAAGTGCGGGGAAACCCGAGCTCCACTCGTGCCTGGTGTGTGGGGAGGAGAGCGGTGCTGAGTACGTTCTCGTGTCAAAAGAGGAGGAAGGTTTGTGGACTTTAACTTTTTAAAACATCTGAGGCCTATGAAAAAAATGTTGTTTTTCCTGTTTCCTGACAGACCCTACAAAAACTGCCGACCCTAGCCTTTTTTTTTGTGGATCCTGCAAGGGACATGAATTTTTCAAGCTGATCGACCTTTTCTAGCTCCATGGCCTGACACTTGATTGATGAAACGTTGTACAGTTTTCCAACATTGACATTGAAACTATCCCGTGTCAACTAACACCACGCAATTTAGCACCTGGCTGCCATGTGGGATTTGCTGTACATTCTGTATCTGTATCGATATAGCCGGTATAACCGTCCTTCGGCGTAACACACCAGCTTCGCAGGCACGCGGCGCGGCGGCAGCTGGCTATATCACACCGAACGACTCGTTACACTCAATCTTTGCACATTTGATTGCACATTAATATGTAATGTATTCTAAATTGTACTAACCAAAATTATTGTTATTATTATCATCAAGGTTTCGCTTCCATGATCGACACTGGCTGTTCTTCCGACGCAGACGAAGCGAACGACAGACGGATGCCCGACGCAGCCAACAGGCTGACTCCGCAGAGGAGAGACTCGAACGAGAGTAACAACAACACTGTGGTGTGTCGGGAGTCTCCTACTGAACTGCAGGTGAGTACTATACGTAGTAAAACAGTCTGGACCAAGAGGTTGGGAGTTTGAATCCCGGCTGTGTTGCCCAACTGACATGCACGCTACTGGAAAGGATCACAGTCCTTAATAGGATGGGACCAGTAGTGTACGTAGTCAAACAGTTAGAGAACCTGCCTCTGGACCAAGAGGTTGGGAGTTCGAATCCCAGCTGTTGTTGCTCACCCGACATGAACGCTGCTTGCAAGTGAGTCACAATCCTTAGGACAGGATGTTAAGGACGTAGTCCTCAGTGCACCTTATATATCAAAAAGAGCTACAGTAGCTGGAATTCCCAGTATGTGTCAAAAAGAGCTAGGGGAATTTAGCTGACAGATCGAACCTGTAAATAATGTACATATAGCGTCTGTCTTTGTCAGGACCAGTGAAAAAGTAGCTCCTCAGTGAGCCGAACTAGTTTTAAACTAAACTAGATGATTTAAATTTTCTTTCTTCTTTTCCCAGGAGGCCAGGCTGGAAAACGTCTCACACGTGCAGAGAATTTCCCCAAGATTCGAGAGGACGTCGGACACGTTAGTTGATGCAGCTAGCAGCAGCGTGCTGTCAGTAGGTAAGGAGGGCGGCATGGTGTCACCAACACGGCAACTAGACGAGCAAGAGAGGTACAGATACGCCAGGATGGCTTCTAAAGAAGGGAGCATCAGCATGCTAGATGAGTATTTTGATGGAGAGACTGAAGCGAAAACGATGGACGACATTCAGGACGAGTTGATCAGGCAGTCTCAGGAAGAACAGAGGACGGCCTGTGATGGACACGGAGAATCAGACAGGCACTTGGAGGATGCGCAGAGGACTGCCCTGTCAGACTTATCCAGACCTGTAACGTTAGAAGGAATAGACATTTGCGAGGTAGAGTCGCATGGAAGAGCGTTGCTCTCTCCTGACGCCCTCAGCCCTGTCGACGAAGTGCCTACACCTGTTGTGTCGTGCGCGGGCACACCTGTTGTTGTTTCACCTGTATCAGGTGCTGCAACACCTGCCACGCTCTCCCCAAGAACTTCCCCTGCGCCCACAGTGGTTCCCAAGGAAGGTGCGGTAATTTCCACACAGGCTTTCACGGACGCCATGTTTGAAGGCTCCACTGATAGTACAATCACAAACACTAGTTTTACCACTAGCTGTGAGAGTGCTCGGACTGCCACGCAAACACCTGTGCAGGTGGAGCAGACGGAGCAAACGGATGGAGTTTTCAGTTGGAAAGAGGGAGAGGAAGAGGAGGCTGGGGTGTCTGACTTGCCGGATAGGAAAATGTCCTATTGCAGTTCTCATGGAGATCAACAGGAGGCTCTGCCAGATGACCTCCCCATGCCAAGGTAGGATGATGATGTACTGTGTATGTTCACCAGCTCAGAGTTGTTGAAACAGCCTCTGGCTGCAGTCATTCTTTCTTATGTTGTGTGATATTCACACACACACATGTTGTGTAATATTGCCTTTTGTAATTATATAGTTGATACAATAAGGAGATACCATAAAGCCCATGACTTAAACAGTGCAATGAACACTAAGTTTGTATGGTTTTTGATGTTTCTTTGTTGTATTTTTTAGGTCTAAATCAGTGCAGAATCCTCAGCAGAGATTGGAGTCTAACTTCGGAAGGTCTCTCCTAGCTGGGTAAGAATTCATTTTTGCATCACTGCAAACATTTCAAGATCTACAGTTGCTTAAAAATGGTACCGCTGAATTTGTGACATTTTTTTATCAGGGCTCGAAATACTTTCATTCTTCATACCTGCACTGTTGCAGGTTGTACTAAAGACCATACTGCCCTAAAAGTATGATCCAGACATTTTGTACCCTCCTCTACGCATAGCTACAGTGAAAAGTACCTTCATGTATCTATAGTAGACTGACCTAAGCTGAGAAGGGGAGCAAGGGGCCAGATCCTGGCCTGAGCACTTAGGCAGGACCTAGGTTTACATTGCTCTTCTCTTCTAATGTCCTGAAGTGCACAATGTCCTTAAATTGTGCCTTCCTCTCCTCACATCTACATTGAAAAGTACCTAGTATGTAGTATATATCAGTATTAGTAACTGACTGAGTATTTATAGCAGACCTAAACATTGCTCTTCTAATCTGATGTCCAGAAGTGTGTATGATATGCTACTATGTGCCAAATGGCTACCTTAGGATGCTAAAGATTATGTGTGTGATAATCCTTGAATTTTTAACCCCACAGCTACAGTGAGAAGTACCTTCCCGACTTTGTCCTGCTGGGGACGGGTGATGCTGACTTCAGGCAGCAGCTACAGACAGACCTGCAACTTGCCACACAGACATCAGTTCTCGACGAACCAATCGCAGAGGCCGTCTGCATCGTGGCGGACACAGACAGATGGTAAACATGCGTTTGTTTGTTTGTTTGTTTTTCATAGTAGCAGTACATAATAACATTTGCTATATACAGGACACTGACATGTTGCACTGAGATGGGCCTTGACTTTGTGTTTAAATTTCTGTAAGTCCCTGCTATTTACTCAAACACATTCACATACATGTATATGGTGACAGGAGTCTAAATGCCTACTATGAAATTGCACCATTATGTAACCTAACAGCAGTCACTATGGTGACAGACGTCAACAAATGAGGCCATTGGCCAGATCAGAGGTCACTGTTTGGAGAAGAAGAGGAAGAGGAGGAAACTGAGCAAAAACAATATGTTTTCCTTTGGTAAACATAAAATATGATTTCCTTTTGTTATTTGGATTCTGAAAGTGAATGTTTACTAACCTTGCCCCCCCCCTCTCCAGGACTGTCCAGCTGTACTCCAGCCAGAAGAGGGGCGACAAGCCTGCTGCTGATGTCATGGGGTCATCTCAGGTCAGCGGTATCCTGCAGTCCGTGGCCAACCTGTACAGACTCAAGATGCCGGCCGAGTTTGTAAGTATCAAATTACACAGATCACCTGGAAACTTGATATGTAAGTTCAGGGCATTATGTTAATAAGTCTGCATTTCAAGTTTTTGTTAAAATGTGGAGTCCAGTTAGCTTTTGAAAATAGGAAATGATACTTAATTTTTTTCTTGACTGTCCTAGGAGAAGAGAAGAAGAATAACATTTGAAAAGTAAATAGAAAAACAAAAATTGAGATGGACAAACAAACTTGAATGTGAAAGAATTTTCCAGATGCCTTTTATTGTGCAGTTGCCTTTTATTATTATTCTTTATTCATATAATGGATATTGCAGACACCCAGAAAAGATGAAATGATAGTAAGACTAAATAGCCTTTTGCAGCCTTATGTGTATGGGCCTTGTGTGGATGTGAGAATTGACCTTGACATGACCTTTCCCCCCTTTCTTAGTGCCTGATGCATCTTGAGGACCGTCTCCAGGAGTTGTTCTTTAAGAGTAAGATGTTAGCGGAGTACCTGAGAGGTCACACAAGGGTCACCATCAAGGAGCTGTCAGCGTGCGTGGGGTAAGGAACAATTGGGTTGTCTCAGGGTTGAATTTGTGTGGATAAAAATTGTTTTCTGACATGAATGCTCATCTGCTTATGAATGTGAATTTGAATGGATGATGCACTACTGCATTGCATGTTTGTTGCAATGCAGTAGTGACTACGTGTGTGTCCGTGTGTGTATGTTTGTGTGTGTGTGTCTGTGTGTGTTTATTTGTTTTGTCTTACCTGCAAAGCAGTACTTGAAAAGGGGGTGAAGCGAGCCATCTCTGATATCCTTGTTTTTTTGTTTCTTTTTTCCAAGGATTGAGTCGAGCGACCTTCCTCTGCTGACAGCGGTGGCCAGCACCCACTCCCCTCACGTGGCCATGAGTCTGGTCTGAACCACTCCAAACCAGACCAAACCGGTTGCAGCTGGATTGAACCAGTCCAAACTGCTTAAAGCTGGATCAAACCAGTCCAAACCAGTTGAATCTGGATCAAACCGGTTACAGCTGGATCAAACCAGTCCAAAACCGGTCACAGCTGGATCAAACTGCCTGCTGCTATGTGCCTCGTCTGGACAAGTCCAAACTTCTTCCAGCTGGATCCAACCACTCTCCCATCTCCAAAGTATTGTTAAGCTTACAGTAATACGACTCTTGTACATCTTTACCATGTAAACTACTGTATATCTACTATGTGGCCAGGTTTTATTTTGTACAAAGCCTGGTTTGTTGGTAAAAAAACAGTTGGTACTGATACACTGGACACACTGTACATCCTCGAGTGTTCTTTTCAGGTCTTCCAGGGCAGATTTTGGTGTTCTTGTCTGTGCCAAAAGGAACAACACAGGGCATTGAAAGCATTGACTTGTCAGACACATAACTTGGTGTTGTGAGGTAAAATGTACACTTACATGTACCAAAGGGCTCTTTGATAGTCACATTTTGATACGTTTTGTAAGAAGTGGGCAAACTGCCATCACCTGTCCATGTCTCGTGCCCCAGAAAAAAATGACGTGCCTTGAAAAGTTCTGTCGTTCGTGTCCATCCCACCATTTGTACCTAACACACTCTGTGATTGGCCAAAGTACATCACATGACACACGACCTTTAACCTGGATGTAGTAATTTTGACACTGGTACATTTTGTACTCTGGTATATGTAAAGAATTGCCAATATACATTGTAAAATGGACCATGGATATCTGTATCCACCCAAAGAATTACTATGCAATATCTTTTACTTGTTAGCCAGAAAAGTCGCCAAGACATATGTCATATATTGTTATTGTTAACAAAAAAGTGCTGGCAGGAGGTCTGAATAGTGTTTGGGTAGGGAAACTTGTATATTTGTGTACATATGGAAAACTGTGCCCCTGCCATGTTCTGTATCTGAGACAGAGAGAGAAGCTACTAATACTGAGAATCCATGACTTTTGTCAGATGTTCCAAGCCCCCCATTTTGAAATTTGGGACTTGTTCGAGCGATATACTAAGTTGAAAAAAATACAACGGAAATGTAAAACAATCCTATGGATGTCAAGTTGCCATAGATGCTGAGATTTAGTAAGAGACGTTTGGCAAAAAGTGGAGGCCTTTGGTTGTGAGATAAGAAAAGCTTTGGCTTGTTCGTGCCTGTAAGTTGTAATTTCTCTGTAAATCGACCTGGCATTGCAATGATTTGAAATCTTGATGGATTCATCCTGAGTTGTATTAAGTTGTGTTTTAGTTATGAAGCAAACCTGAAGTTGCAATCAAGATTGATGCTTACACCATTGCAAGCACAGTTCACACTGTCCAAGACCACATGAACCATAAAATCTGGTCTATGTGGACTTAATGGTTGTGTCAATGGGAAAATTGTCCAAGATTTTGGTGGTCACATTGGCCAAGTAATTCCTATGGTCATATGTACAGGTTTGAGACTGTATTTCTTTTGACACTAAGTTGTTGCAATGTGTTAAACTTTCAATGTCCTTAGAAAAGAGGATGACATGAAAAGTTTGGTCAGTTGTGGTGGCAAAGTTGACAATTGTTAATTCTTACCTATAGTACACATGTATGTCCTTTAGTTTCTTATGGTGAAGCATAAATAATACCTCAGATGGTGTAAGATTTTTGTACAAAGTGGGGGAGGCAGATCTATGTGCAATGGATGTGTAAAATTGCCTGGGATTGAACATGTAACGTTACGTGTTCATGTAAGTGTAGTTACTGTACAGAGGTGAGGAGGAAAATAACTTATTTGGAAATAAAGGCATTTCACTTAATAGATTGAGACTGACTCGTCGTGACTATGTATTTTAACCATTGTTGACAGAACCTTAAGCATACAATGCAATGGATTACAATTGTAACAAAAATATGCATGTTGTTGCCAACATTTCCTCTTATGTAATTTTGAAAACCTGTGCATGTTTGAGTGAGAGTATGCATGAGTACAAACGTATGTGTGAATGCGTGCATTTGTGTCACAATGTAAACTTCAAGAATATCTTATATACATGTAGGAATATCAGGAATGATTTAATATAACCAAAGTACAGAAGTTTAGAAAGCATTTATTTACAGAACAAAACATGGAAAAATCCTCATTTTCCAACAAAGTTCAGTCAGTACAGGTCCTACAGTAGAAAAATTTATATGTGACCAGTTCTACAGAGCTACACACATGTAGACAGTTGAAGAAAGCTTCAAGTTGACTTAATTTTATCACATCTGACAATTTACAAAATACACTTTCTGTGCGAGGTCCTAGTAATACTGTATAACCTCAACCGCCATAAGAAAAAGACTTATAGATCCAGTACCTTAATAACTAGAAGTACTGGTCTTTTCACAAAATACATTCAACATGCAGCAAATTTGCCGTTTACGACATTCAAGTATTTTAACCCCCTTCACATAGAAGTACATCATACATTTAGTAGTGAATATGAAAACTAATATTGTGGTTGATTCTCATTTCTTTGTAATGTGTCTTCAGAATCTTACTAGGCCCATGACTTTAAACGTAAACGTACAAAAATCTGTGATCAAAATTCTTACATACGTCAACATAGAATGTGAACAATTCACACAACTGGACAAAACATTCAATGGACAATTCTACTATACATGTACATCCTACATTGTACATGGACACATGTAAACTAGGGCAGAGCGGTTCACATTGGTAACATTGAAAACAACTTTCATATTGTCCCATACATGCAGAAGTCAATAATACCAGGTAAAATTTCTTTCCAAGCAGAATTTGACCTGTCGTACATTTTTGCCCACTTTATACTTTCCTCAAATGGTGCAATTTTTGCACAAGATGTTTTACCATATACTAGTACCAAAGACAGTACCCCTATATAATGTCCTTGCTTACACCAGTCAATATAAGCACTTGAAAAATGAAACTACACAATATCATCATCAAAGCTTGCATACTGTGAATTTTGCACTCAGTACTTTTGACACAAAGTTGACCCACTGTACAAAGTACAAAATGATGTCTGTATAAGATATAACATGAGAAGCTGGCAGTCAAGTTTTTCTTTTTTGGACTTGGAACACAAACCCTTCCACTTAAAATATTTTACATGTGACAAACTTACTCCTAATGTATACCTTGCATATGTTACCCTCAATGAGCTAGGAAAACAACTAGAAAGGATACCACTGTGTGAGATACTGATAGCTTATTTCACAGGCAAAGAACAGTGCCACCTGCATTACATTGTGTACTTATAACTCTACACCATACATGTAGTTATAGTGTACAAATTTATTACTTGCATACAGTTTGGAAACCCAGTCAGACACATCCAAGCAACTCTTACTCTTGTAGAATCTTCATATAGAATATCACTACTTATTCTTTTAGCTGGAACACACTGCTATCATACATGCATCTAGTGATCTGTGTTTATAAGGTTTTATGGGGAGGGGGGCAACTGGCTACATGACCTTGTATCTGCCCTTGTCAGTTCTATGGGGGAGGGGGGCTCCTGCCTACATGACCTTGTATCTGCCCTTGTGAGATCTATGGGGGAGGTGGGCTCCTGTGTTCATGACCTTGTATCTGCCCTTGTGAGATCTATGGGGGAGGGGGCGCCTGTGTCCATGACCTTGTATCTGCCCTTGTGAGTTCTATGGGGGAGGGGGGCTACATGACCTTGTATCTGCCCTTGTTGAGAGGTTGGTAGGAGTTCTGTAGTCTGACCAGCTCTTCCTTGATCAGGCGTTTGATCTCTGCTTTTGCCTTCTGTACTGACATCTCATTGGTACCTGCAGGGCAACACGTAACGCAATAGTTCAGCAACCATAGAGCTATGGCAACAACTATTTGTCTACTGTATACACTGTGGCAGAAGTCTTTACTTCACATAAGATAATACTACACAGGGAAGCATGCTCTAATCTCAAATAATAACATGTGAATTACATGTAGAAATATCAAGGAGAAGTGTTATAGATTCAAATATGGTGCCCAGTGTGCCTGGATGACCTGACATCCATGGAATTGGTGAAGTAGGTGGCCAAGGACAGACCCAGATGGAAGGAAAAAGAAAGCCATAACCTCATGTCTCACTTGGGATGAAGTGGATATTATTAGTAAGTAAGTACACAGGGTGCAGTGTTAGACCACAGAGAAGACAGAACTCACTCTCGATGGCCAGGTAGATTTTCCTCTCCCCTTCCTTGACCTCCTTGCCAGGTGGGAAGTACGTTCCTCGGACAGTGATGCCAGCCTCTGAGTACTCCTGGATGTGGGCTAGGGCCTCCTGTTTCAGCGGCAACAATAAAAAAATATTTAGGGCAAACAAAAAATTTTATAGATCACATTATGAGAAAAAAATTAAAACAAGGGCTAGCATAGCACATTCATGTCCTTGTATCTGCGTTTGTTGAATTCTATTGACTCAGAGGGAGGGTGTGTGTGGGGGGGTTATCACTACATGACCTTGTACATTTCTATCTGCCCTTGCAAATTCTATGGGGGAGGGGGGCATGTACACTGTAGCTACATGGCCTTGTATCTGCCCTTGTGAGTTCTAAGGGGGAGGGGGGCTCCTGGCTACATGATCTTTCCTTGTTGAGTTCTATAAAAATGAACCGACCTTTGACGTGACCTTCCATCGTACAGTCTGAGGGAAGTCGTTGATTTCCAGCTCCTCTTCGTAGCGTTTGAACGTCTCGACGTTGGTCTGCTCCTCCTGTGTGTCTTCGCTGGCCTGGGGTGTGTAGCCTAGCTTGGCGTTGATACGGTCGGCCATCTGTTCTGCTATGGTCTTAGCCTGGTGGGAGGAATAAGATGAACATAACTCTAACCCCAATCTTAACCAGAAGATGGTAGGATATGCCAAAGGATGGTTAGACTTGCTATACAGATACGGATTATAGTTGTAACAGAAGTGTACCTCACATTTGAACTGATACAGATAGCCATTTGTTCTGCCATGGTCTTATATTGGCCTGGTGGGCAGAACAGTGGTGAGATACTACACTACTTTCCACACTACTCCTTGCTTCCTCACTGCCTGCCAGTAGAGTGAGACTATTTTAACCTATGATTCTCCTTACTGTAAGTTATACTAATTTCCCTTTTGCTTCCTCTTGCTCTGGACACTATTACGGAAACACGCTAACAGAGTACTTACAGACACAGCAGGTGCAGCAAGGATCTCTCCCTTCATCACAGCTGAGGCAGCCTGCTGAACAACATCCTGGGGAGACAAACACATCAACAGGGCTCAAAACACTAGCTGCATTATCATGCACGTCACTGAGAAAAAGTAGAGGATGCTCCTTGAAACGTCTGACGGTTTCCAAAATCTATCCAGTTCCTTCAGTAACTGTTTCATTTCTAACCTCCACACAACTACGTACAAGCTAACTTCGTACATTTCACCCTGATACTGGACATACCTCCATTTGCACACGTGCAAAACCCGTGCGAAAGTAGTGCGAGGGCTGTGTGCTACATAAATAAATACATAGCTAGTACCCCACCTGTGCCTGGTCTCCGAGGTTTTTCTGCATGTTGATGCGTGTGGCCAGACGTTTGGCCAGCTCCAGTTTTTCCGCGGTTGTTTTGGTCAGCTCCAGCGGCTGGCTCGTCGTCTGGACGTTTGCAACCGGCGCCGTCACGTCTTTCACGCGCTTCTTACTCGCAAACATGTCCTCGATCTGCTGGTCAATCTGAAACAAACAAAATAAACAATGTCAAAACCGATTTCTTCAATCTGCTGGTCAATCTGAAACACAGACATCAAAGCAACATCAAGGCTAGCTTTCTCAATCTGCTGTTCTTTTTTAAATCTACTGGTCCCCTTCATTATACTCAATTGACAATTCAAATAAACAAATGCCACCTTCCATTTTGCTCTACATAGCTTACAGAACAAGACAACACCCATCTCAGTGCTACTCATCAGCATACCATAATAGCAAATGTTATTATGTACTATTGCTAAGCTGACGTCTCAAAATACCTGTTAATATGAAACAACCTTGAACCTTGAATTGGGATATCAACACGGGAGACAATGGGTTCTTCTTCCCTCGTCCCTGTCCTCCATCCGTGAGAGGAGTTCTGTTGTATCATTTACGAAATCTTCATCTTCATCTTGAGTACCCCCAAATAACCCCGCGAGGGGTGCTGTTGGGGGGGGAGAGGAGGTCAAGGCTAAGGCGAGCAGGCCGCCAGCCCGGCCCGGAACGACTCAACATTGGGAGCCATTACTACCGGGTCAGGTAACGCGTTCCACAGTGGAATAGTACGAGGAAAGAAAGAAAATCTGTAGGTGTGCTTTATGTGCTTTATGTGCTTTATTAAACTCCATTAGCGACACACAAGACATACAAAATCAAGTATGTAGCTAATCTTCCTGGAGTTAAAATACAATAATACAAATACACCACATCAAAATTACAACATTATTTACATACAACATTAGACTTAACATTTAAAAGTAACATCACATGTGCCTATCATCATGTGCCTATGTACGCATGTGCTCTAACAACTCCTGCCTAAACCTACTCTTAGTTGCTGCTTGTACCTCATGTGGCAAAGTGTTCCAAACTGTTAAGGATCTATAAATGAAAGTCTTCTTCAGGGCGTTCGTTTTGGGTTTCATTAAACAGTATGTGTTTCGGCTAGCATGACGTGTGTTGTGGCTGTGGTGGTAGGAGACAGGACATAACTGTTTGTAGAGTACTTCTGGTTGATGTGTAGCAATGACCCTCTGTAGCTGAGAGACAGTGTTTACAAGAATCCTTTCCTTGACAGTCTGCCATGACAGAGACGCATGGAGCTGTTGTACTGGGGTTTTGAAGTCACAGTGTAGAACCAGACGAGCTGCTTTGTTTTGCATGACTTGTAGTTGTTGAACATTCTTCTGTGAAGTGGAGGACCAAACTGGTGAGCAGTAGTCAACGTGTGAGAGTGTGAGGCATTCTACTAGCAGCTTAAGTAATGAAGAGTCCAGGTAGGTGGCACATTTCCTTATCATTCCCAATGCACAGGCCATCTTCTTCGCAGTCACTTTTGTATGATTGTCCCAAGTGAGGCACTCATCAAGAGTACTGCCTAGGAGTTTTGTTTCCTTTACTTGCTGGATGACTTGGCCATTAGAATATAAGGTGAGTACTGGGTTCTTTTTTATTTTTGGTTTACTCCCAACTACCATTGATTTTGTTTTGCCTGCATTGAGAAACAACCTGTTCATTAAGACCCAGTCACTTATGTGTTGTAGCTCTTTCTGCAAGGTGGAGTTGATTGTAGAGATTGACGGTGCACATGTGTAAGCAGAAGTATCATCTGCATACATAACTGAGGCAGCCTCCTTTGTGGCTAGAGGAAGATCATTTGTGAATATACTGAAAAGAAGGGGTCCCAGACAGCTCCCTTGAGGTACTCCACATGTGATATCCCTGAAGGAAGAGTTACGGCCATTGTAGTGAACACACTGCAAGCGTTGTGAGAGATAGCTCTCCATCCATTCAACTGCGGCCATACCGAAACCATAGCATTGTAGCTTTCTAAGAAGGTATGCATGATCAACAAGATCAAATGCAGCCGAAAAGTCGAGGAAGATCACTCCTATCAGGTTCCCACAGTCAATGTTACGGTACCAATCATCCACCATTTCCAGGAGAGCTGTGCATGTGGAATAGTGTTTCCTGAAACCGTGTTGGTGGGTTGTCATTAAGGAGTTCTGTAAGAAGTACTGGGAGATTTGGTTGTACACAACTCGTTCTGCTATCTTGCTTATGGACGAAAGTAGACTTATCGGTCTTGCGTTCGGTCCACTCAAGCGGGCAGACGTAGACTTGGGCAAGGGAATCACCTTGGCCTTCTTCCATTCAGACGGGTAAACAGACGTAGTGAAAGACAGGTTTATTATATAACATAATGGTTGTGCTATATGATTGGCAGCCAGTTTAAGTAGTGTGTTGTCCAAGTTATCCAAGCCCATAGCTTTCCCATCAGGTAGAGACGACAGGAGTGAGTGCACTTCCTCAACATTCACCGGACTGAACTCAAACTTGCAGTCGTTGTTTTCCATGATCTCCCTCTTTATCAAGGTAAGTAGGTTATCACCCATCTCTGAGTTTAGCCCATTACGTAGAGAGTCGACTTTCTGAGTGAAGAAGTGATTAAAGTACTCCGCTACGTCTTCTGCTCTGGTCAGGTAAGCACCGTCCTGTTCTACTACACAAGGTGGCTGATTTCGGTTTTTACCCAGCATACCATTAAGCGTTTTCCATAGGGCCTTGGGGTCATGCTTGGTCTCTTCTAGCTTGGTTTTGTAAAAGGCGGCTTTCTTTTTCCGATTCAGTTTTACGACAGCGTTCCTGAGTTTTTTGTAAACAAGTACATCTGATTCCAGGCGAGAGGAGATGGATTCTCTTCTCGCTTCTTCCCTGAGATGCATCAATTCCCTCAACTCGTCATCAAGCCAGGGTGCTGGGTTAGATCTTACTGTTCGCTTTTTTACTGGTGCATGGCTGTCGGCGACATCATTTAGTATGGTTGTGAGAACATGAAGAGCCATATTTACATCTGATTCATTATAAATCAAATGCCAGGGTGCCAGCTCAATGTCGCGTTGGAAATCTTGAGGGTTAAATTTCCCATACGCTCTCCTCTCTACTACCCGAGGTTGTGCCTTTGGAACCTTTGTTTTCCTTGTTGTATACAATGTTGTGGTCAGAGAATCCTAGAGGAGTCGATGACACTGGTGTGCATCTTTCCGCACAGTTGGTAAAGACTAGATTGATGTGAGTTTCTGTCCTTTGACCTCGGTTGTTAGTACCAATCCTCGTAGGACTTTTCACAGACTGGAGAAGGTTACACCTTACTGCTGCTTGAGCCAGCCTCTCTCTCAAGGGGCATAAATGGTTGGACCAATCAATGTTGAAATCTCCTAGAATGAACACTTCATTGTTTGAGTCCGTTGCCCTGTCAATCGAGGCTATGATGTTGTTGAAGGTTTGTATTGATGAGCCCGGAGGCCTGTAAGTACAGCAAGATTAGTCATAGGTTTTGTTTGTGGTAGAGTCACCTCCAGCCACAGCATTTCCACATTGACCTCCTCCAGGTCCAGTCGCTGTTTCCAAGGTAGGTTACTGCAGATTAAGATGGCCACTCCTCCACCATTTCTGTTCCTGTCTTTCCTAATAACAGTCCAGCCATCTACACACAAGTCACTGTCACTAATGTTTGAGTCCAAGTGTGTTTCTGACAAGGTGAGTATATGCAACTTATTGTTCTCTAGTAGTTCTTGTAAGTCCTGTGTTTTGTTTCTCCAGCTGCATATATTTAAATGACCAATATGGAGACCCTTCGGTGGTAGCTGTAAGTCTGTTGGTCCCGGATTACAACTGACATCTCCACAGAGCAGTATGAGTACACACAAAACCAGTTTATGAGAGCTAGCATGATTAACATCACCACTACTAGACTGCGTCTTCATGACATGTGGGAACAATTTGTTGATACATACTAGGTTCCAACTAAGACATCTTTTAAGTACTTCTTGTGTCCTTATGATAGTCCATGAGCCATCAGACGGCCTATATTTGACTAGCTGCCTGTTTACTTCTGAGTTAGTAGCAGATAACCCGACATCGCTGACATTTCTACACATAGGCAAAACCACTGAAAGACAAGCAATATACAATATATACAAACCCACAATGAGTGTCATCTTTGATTCTCAAATCTAGGATCACTATACCAGCTGATTGTAAATTTGTAGTAAATTGCTAGTGGGCTTACACATCAGATACAGTAGTTCAACCAGTAAAATTTGAAATTGTCTAATTAATTTATGCACGAGATTCCAATATTTTTAAAATCATGGACTGTTGAACTACAGTTAAAATTGAATTACTTATCATAGGGACAAGAGCTGAGGCGCACTGTCCGAACATGCATCCAGCATTACAAACATGCAATAAAGTAAACAAAGTAAGCTGGGAACCAACTACCTAGGTGATCTAAGCTAGAAAACAGGTCAAAAACACAATGGCAGAACGGAATGACATGTCGGTCAGTACCTCTCGAGCAATTATATAAGTTGCATTAATAGTAGCATCAGAGTTCAGAGGAATGGCGCCCTCCCCCTTGTTAGCAAGAAGGGGGAAGAAGTTTAAAAGTCTTACTGTAGACACAAAGTTCAAGAATTGAAAAAAAAAATTCTACATAAGAATGTTCTACAAACAGTTATAAGTTTCCCTACAGGTGGAACGTACCTGGATAGTTAGTTTTAAGAAAGATTTTTATGGATTAGAACAGAGAATTTGTAGTAGGCAGCCATCCAGTTGACCTCTGACCTCTGACCTCTGCCGGTGTCTGTGTGTGTGTGTTCATAGGCCGGTATTTAAGTGAGTGACTCCCTTGGGGTACGCCCAGGTGTGGACTGCAAAAAAACTGCCAGTTTGAGTGTTGATTGCGACAATATTGCAAAACAAATAAACAAACAGCCTCACATCTACAGCGGCATCCTCCTCGTCCGAGTCCTGCAGGCCCAGCGCTGCTTTCTGCAGTTTTCTCCTCTCGTCGGCCAGAGCTTGCTCCGTCTCGTCAAACTTGAACCCCTTCCCGGTAAAACCACTCGTTTTCTTCACTGCTTTTCCTTCCTGAGAGGTACCAACAGTAATGATATTACTTTCAATAGGACATATACAATAAGTCTGTTTCACTGATTTGCCTTCCTAGGAGGTACCAACAGTAAGAAAATTTCTTCATGACATACTTTAGTTTTGTCTTGTGAAATTTGATAAAACTGCTGTTGTTTTCTTTCTACTGCTCTTCCCTTCTATGTGGTACCAAACCTGAGAGACTTTCTTTGACACACGATAGTTTGGGAAGTTTTTAGAGAGCATCCACCATGTTTCATCAGTACATGAAAAGGTGTCATGAAAATATGTCACGTGTTATGTGTTTTGTCAATGATGCCAATTAGCTACATGTTACTACACGTAACTTGCAAGAGCAAGACTGTACTTTATATTAAGTTTGAATAAAAAGGAAAAAAAATAGATGGCCACTCACAGCCTTTTGTCTGTTGACGTACTCGGTCCACAGGTTGAGGACCTCCTCGGGTACCGGCCTCTCCGACAGCTCCAGAGCTTTGATGACATCGCCGGCGTACCGACCCTGGTCCTCCGTTATAAACGTGTACGCAAAACCCTTGTTTCCAGCTCTGCCCGTCCGACTGTGGGAATGGATACAACAAACATTTAACAACCCAAGTTTGATACCAGATAACTTTGACCAAGTGTTGAGGTCACACTTCAAAGAAGCCAGGTGACAAGCTTCACTGGGTCAGTCTACTAAGGAAGACCAGAGACTGTGAGTGACTGGTCGAAAGCTCTAGGTGAGAGAACTTTTGTGTGGTGGATCAAAAGTTTTAACTTTAAACAACTAAAATTTGTGCTGGCTAGGCCTGGTGAGACTAGCAAAAAACAAGCCTTAAAGTTAAACTGGGGCCATTAAGGGAGCAAAATGCAGAGGTCAACCCAGGATAAACTACAAAAAAAAATAATCAGGAGGGACCTGCAAACTAGAAGAATGTATGACGGCTAACAGAACTTTGAACTGGAACACTGACTGCCTCATGTGTTGGACAATAAGGCAGTTCTGCCCAGTGCCTACCCCACTCTGTGTACATAGTCCTCGTAGTGGTTAGGACAGTCGTAGTTGATCACCAGGATGAGCTGTTTGACGTCCAGCCCTCGAGCAGCCACCGACGTCGCCACCAGCAGCCGACAGTTCCCCGACTTAAAGTCATTGATGATGCTGTCTCGGTCATACTGGTCAATACCTGAAGAAGTAAAGAGGGTCTTGAGAAATGCAAACTTAACTTTTAGCTTGTACAGAGAAAGCTGTCTCCGTGGGTTTTATGATGTTAAAATGCACTTACATCTACATCTATATCTACATGTACTACAGATTGCACAAATACAGGTTTAATCATGGACCAATTACAAATTGTGTTGTCAGACTGAGAGCTGCCTGTTACCAGAGTGTTGGAGGGTGTGATGACTGGTTTCCATAGTGACAGAGAATCCTGAGCTCCTATTGGACTGATTTTCATAATGACAAAAGCCTCTGGGAATGTGAATGATTCTCAGGAGTTGGCACCAAGATTTTGGAGAGGAGGCCCAATCAGCCACTGACAGCTAGAGATTGTACAGCACCTATATAAACTTCTTCCTGAATGTCTTAACCCAACTTCCCTCCCTGTACGGTGGAGTGATGAACACCAAGCCTCTTAGGCTACTCTGTTTAACTGTGTACCAAAAACACACTACAGATGTGATGCGCAAATGTGTTAAGTGTTCCACATTTGCCACCGAGATTTGGCTATGTGTGTCAAGGGCTTCAGATGCATATTTACCTCCATGCAGTGATAAACATGAGTAGGCTGCCTTAAGCAGATCTTTGAGCAGCGTGTCAGCCACCTCCTGCCTCTCCACAAACACCAGCACACTCCCCTTCTCCTGGAAGTTCCCCAGAAGCTCCAGCAACTTGAAGAACTTCTGCTCCTCTTCCAGTACAACCTTGGACAGACAGAACAAAGAAACTGTAACGTCTAGTACATTTGTACATTGTAACATGATTCTGCCAGGTCTGGTCACAACAATGTGGTGTCAAATGGCCAAGTGGTTAGGTACGTGGCACAAGATCAAGAGATCCCAGCTGCCCAAGTTTTTGCTGGAATGGACTTCCAACAATGGAAAAAGGCCTAAAGGAACCATGTACACGTAAAAAGACCAAAGAACAACCTTGGGGACACAGAACAAAGAAACTGTAGCTAGCAACAATAGGGAGCCGACAGTAACTATGGAGGATGGACCCAGGCGGCCGATGTTCCACGAAATTCAAGAACAGTGATGACCACAGTGCAGTGACGACTCATACAGGTAAATGCCACATAAGGCCAGCATTTGCCGGCTTGTAGTAAAAGTCACTATGTACTACCACAAATTCACAATACCAGCTTTTTATTTCTGTGGTTTGACAGCAGTTTTTTGGCTGGAACTTTTTTTTATTTGCCCACGAGCTCTAGTTTGAGGGACTTCAGAAGATGGAATAAAATTAAGTCAGTCGGGTCTAAGAACCCTGTGGACGTACCACGTGTTGTTCGACATCGCTGCAGACCACGCTGCGACCTCCGACCTGCACCTCGATGGGTTTCTGCAGCACCTTGCGCGCGAGAGCCTCCATGTTCCGCGGGAACGTCGCCGAGAACATCACGGTCTGACGGTCCGGCCGCACGCTGTTCACTATGTGCATCACCTGGCAAAGTGTAATAGACATCCAGGTAATTAGATACATGTACCAAGAAAACAGTTATGCAAGCATAAGTTATTGAATAGGTTTTGACTAGATAAGATTTTGAAAATCAATCCAGTTGCTTGAGTACCTATTTTCTTGTTTAAAAATGGTAATGAAGTTTAGACATTCAGGTAAATGATACTCATACTCGTACAGAGATTAAGAATCTGTATGTTTCAAGTCCATCACTTTTCTTCAGAGTCACAGGAATAAACTGGCAGAACTACATGTAGTCCACACTGACGTGTAAGAAAGGTTTTTGCAGCTCTTTATACATAAGTTTGACTAGGGCTGCCAGTTCATTCTAATGATGCTGAAGAAGATGATAGGATGGATGTTACTTAGTGGTCTGATAATACTCAAGAATGAGGACATTACCTGTGGTTCAAATCCCATGTCGAACATTCTGTCAGCCTCGTCCAACACCAGATATGTACAGCGCCGAAGGTTTGTCACTCGGCCTAGGAAAAAGGAAAAGGTAAGATCCATATTGATTCCTTGCCTGTCGGTGCATATCAGGAACAGCACTTATCCCAGTTTCTACAGCCCTTGGGCCACACAGGCCACTACAGCTGGTGGCTAGTCTACTGGTAGTGGTGTGTGTTCAAACATTTCAGTCTGGAAAACTCTCTCTCTATCCAGTTTATCGTCTGTTGTTGCCCATCTTCTGAGGGTTAGATCTGCTTGCAAACCAATTCTGAGACTCGATGGCAGCCTGCCATTTGCCTCTATCCTGTAGGTTTGATGCTATGCAAACTCCAAAAATAAAACAACTCCAAATAACATGTATCTGCTCACCATTATTAGCTGCCAGCATGTCGATCATACGCCCGGGAGTACAGATGATGATCTCTGCTCCTCTCTTCAACTCTGCAATCTGAGAAACACAAATCAAAACCTAATCAACACTCTAACACTAAGTTGTTATAGATAAACCATGTAGTATGAGCTCATCATTGATAAACCAAAAGGTAGGTGAGCACAGAGAATGAATCCACATGATGTTAAAAAAAATCTTATTTAATTTCTTCTCCAACCTATATTTTACATGGACAAGTCCAAACTTCACCAGTTACAACCGTATGTGATAGGAGGTGTGGCAGGAACCACTACTGCCAGAGGGGTGTTTGTACCTGTTCGCTGATGCCGGTCCCTCCGTACACACACACCACCTTTAGGTTCATGTGCCGAGTGAACTTCTTACACTCTTTAGTGATCTGCAGAGCAAGTTCTCGGGTGGGGGTCATGATCACTCCTGGATAACATAGAAAATTCATTAAAAAAAATAGAAAGCAAAGCAAATACATGTGTACATGTTTACCTTCACATGGTCTAGCTTAAAAATCAAAAACTACGTCTCTGTTTATTATTCATAATATTGTAAAAACATTCATGTATATGGTGACCAGCCCCTCCAACTCGATCTTGCTACATAATGTAATCCAACACCACTGCGTGTCTGCTACAGCACCAGTTACCATGGTGATAGACTTCGTACCTATGGGTCCCTCAGTGTCCTCCAGCGGCCTCTGGTCCAGGATGTGGCGGAACATGGGGATGAGGAAAGCGAGCGTCTTGCCGGAGCCCGTCTTAGCGATCCCGATCATGTCCCGTCCTGACATCACAACTGGGATGGCCTGCGCCTGTGAAACAACGTCATATAGTGTTTGATGCTCTTTTTACACAACAAAGTGTTTTATTCACAGCCAACGTTTCGGTGACCGTCTGTCACCTTCCTCAGGGCAATTCTGTTCACATTGTACTGCAGCACAGGTGTTGCTGCATTCCCAAATTACACATGTACATGCACAGTTACAGGGGATTGTATGTACAATGCCATCTATAGCAGAAACCCCTGTGCTGCAATGCAATGTGAAGCAGTCAGAATCGCCCTGAGGAAGGTGACAGTCACCGAAACATCAGCTGTGACCAAAACTGAATAAAATCAGAGTAGTGTTTGAGATTCCATCCTGGTCGGACGTATAATATTTGTCTCACTTGGATGGGTGTCGGCTTCTCGAAGCCGTGTTTCTTCAGACAGGACAAGACTTTCTTTGAGACGCCGCTCTGCACCCAGTGGAGGATGGGCTTCGGGCAGCCCTTTCCTTTCACCTGGAGCAATACATGTACATGTAATATACATGAGTGATGAAACGTTGTACAATTGATTTTCTAACATTGACATTGAAAGTTTTACTTTGTTTAACTGTATTGTATAAGTTAGACCACTATATAGATATCACTTTTAAGTCTAAAAAAAAGGAAAAAAATCCCTACCTACCGACCCTAATTTTTTCAGGACTGAAACAAGGAAACACAACATTTTTTTTCCTAGGCCTAACAACTAATTTACTATGAGACTATGACATCTAACCCTTGACCTTGACCTATGACCTTACCCTGACGTCCTCCAGCTCGGCCCTGATGGCCTTGACCTATGACCTTACTCTGACGTCCTCCAACTCGGCCCTGATGGCCTTGACCTATGACCTTACCCTGACGTCCTCCAGCTCGGCCCTGATGGCCCTGACCTATGACCTTACCCTGACGTCCTCCAGCTCGGCCCTTATGGCCTTGACCTCGTCCTCGCTGAGTTTCTGCAGCTCGGGCACCTCCACGTAGAAGTTCTTCCTGAAGGGGTCGTACTCGATCTGGGTGTGGTCCACGCTCGCTAGCAGCTTCTTGGCCTGCATGGGAGAAAACATTCATGGGAGTTAGAACAGGTTTTGGCATGATCCATACTCCCTAAATTCCAAATCGTGCGGGTAAAATTTTTCCTGGTGCAAGACTTTGAGCTTTAGTACTTTGGACTGGAAGCTGAGTGTGCCCATGGTCCTGACCTTTGACCTGACCTTAGGTTAGACTGGAAGCTGTCTGAGAGTCTGTTTGAGGTCATAACCTTTCCTTTGACCTGACCTTACCTTTGACCTGACATTTAACCAGTCCTTAGGTTAGACTGGAAGCTGTCTTCCAGAGGTCATAACCTTGCCTTTGACCTGACATTACCTTTAACCTGACCTGGCCTTTGACCTGACCTCACCTTAGACTGGAAGCTAGAGAGCGTCTGTCCGAGGTCCTCCTCCTCCTCCTCGGAGGACCACTCCAGCGCGTCCTGGTTCTGCTCGATCAGCTCGCCCCTGGCTTCCCGCTTCCCGCTCTTCTTAGCCACCGCCGTGATCACAGTCACTTTCCCTTTCGTCTCCACCTGAACACAACAGACCAATCAGACGCCTTCAAACACCCGCGGAGGGGAAAGTAAATCCACGATTCACATGCGTCTGCAGAGCTCTCACACTCTTTGTGGCAAAAAATTCAGAAGGAAAAATGTTTCATTTTCAGCCAGAAAAGACAACATCCTTTGCAAAAAGGGTAGAACTAAAAGTAAAACAAAAGCATACTTAAGCTATCGTCTATGCCTGTAATACTAAAATCAATGCATTCCAATTTTGGTAGGAAAGACTCTACACAGCATATTATACATTATATGTATAACACCACGCATGTGCCTTCGGTGTCATCGGAACAAAAAAGGTTAAAGAGCAAAGGGCAAAGTTCATGACAAGCACTGAGAGAAATGTCCATGCGCCCCACTTGTTTGCTGGTCTGGCTCCGGGAGGTGTCCACTCTCAGGGCAGGGGGGAGGGGGGTGTCTTCTTCATCCTAGCAGCAGCAACATGCTATATTGTACATTTCATGGTGGTGCCTACTTCTCTAGATAGCATACTGTGTTCATACTACTAACTCTTAGATTGTAGTCCCACTGTACTAGGATGAGAGCCTCAGGGCATATGATCTTATATTTTCGTGGGTTTGCTTTGACTGTCTTCAAGAAAAAAACACAGATGCACCTAAAACAGTCTGAGAATAAAAGTACTATAAGTTCCATGTGATTTTCATTTTGTATAATGTATTGTGCCATTGCAGTAAGGAGAATACAGTCAGTCCCAAACATGGCTGAGTTCAATAGTGTTAGGCCTAGGAAAATAAATGTTGTGTTTCCTGTTTCCCGACCGACCCTAAAAAAACCGACCGACCCTACGCCTTATTTTTGTTGTGGACCCCTCGCATATTGCTGAACCAAAACAATTTTGTCACGACGCTACCGAGAGAATCGCTGTCATTGGTGGAACATCGGACGCCCCGCTAGCGTTTTGAAGTCGTGTAAACAACGCTATAATTTGTCTGATTTGTTTGTAAAACAATGCCATCGACTCCGAAAATAAGTTTAAAAGACCGATACATAATTTTACGTAACTAATCGTAGAAAATTACCTACCGTACTGCACCATCAGCATGCGGCGGCCGCAAAAATTCGGCAACGCGAAAGAAAAATGTCTGGTCCATGATAGCAGTATTTCTCATAAAAATAATGTATATGATTTATTTTTCCCCCTTTGTCGGTCTTTTAGTCCCAAAACGTCTAAAAAAGCGGAAATTTGCCCATAAAACCGGACGAGGAAAGGTAGCTATCGACGTAAACAAATTATAAGCACATGGCGAAAATCAGCAAAATCGGCAACGGGACAGAAAAATGCCTGGTCCATTTATCGATATTTACCATGAAAATGTCGTCTGTGGTGTATTTTTCCTCTGATGTGAGTTTTTAGGTCGCAAAATCTCTAAAAAAGCAGAAATTTGCCCACGAAAACGGACTGGCAAGGCATGGGGGAGGGCGCTGTTGACGCCTGCATGACCCCCAAAGGTTGAAGGTCATAGGGCACGTCCATTGCGCAATAACCTTAAATCGTCGATTTAGCTAATTTTTTGGGGTTTCAAATTGATACAATCACACTATCGATTTTTAGGCAAACAAAGGGATAGAAACCAATTAAAATTTTGTGCAGATTAATTTTTTTTTCTTTAGAATTCTTTTTTGTTTCTTTTTTTTCTCCAAAATCCCTGGGAGAACCCTGAAAACCTGTAACGTTAGACTTGAATCAGGACCTGAATCTGAATTTAGCCCTGCAAGGGCTAGGGACATCTGTTAAGTTCTTCGAGCTGATCGACCGTTTAAAGCTCCATGATCTGAGTACCTGAGTGATGAAATATAATATTGCACAATCGATTTTTCATCATGTTCTGCTTATATAAACACAGCAATCAGCAAAGTCAAAAAAAAAATAAAAAATAAAAATAAAATAAGATAATCCCTACCTACCGACCCTAATTTTTTCTGGACTGAAACAGGAAACACAACATTTTTTTTCCTTGGCCTTAGTTCTCCTGCGATTTTGCTGCCTATCAAATAAGTGTGTTGTAAGTTCATTAAAGATAGATTACTGTACAGTTGTGCTGTATGGTCGTTGTAAGGTATGAGTAGAGTCATGACACCAGGTTGACTAGTTCGTACTTATAAACCTGTTTTTCTGACAAGTCTCCAGTGTCACTGACGAAAGGTAGTGGATACTAGCTGAAACGTCTGACCGTTTCCAAAATCATGTCTCGTCGCTTGAGTAACTGTTTTTTTGGAGTATCTTATTACCTGGGCATCTAACCTTCACCAATGTGGCTAGTAAATACATGTGTTTTAATATAACTGGAGATCCAAAACAAACAACCAATTAGTTGTACCTGTGATCCGTTGGTAGTGTCGGAGCTGTAGACCTTCCCCACTCTCTCCTGGTCCTTCTTGTTGATCTGTTTCACCTCCTCTTTAATGTCATTCATGAAGGCGTCCAGAGGGTCAATCTCATCATCATCATCTTCATCTTCCTTCTTCACCTGAGAGATGGATTATGTTTTATTTGTTTGTATCATCAGTAGGTGTAGCACAAGTGTACAATACTAGTAGCCTTTCCAGTGGTATTGGCCGGCACAATGGCCAAGTGGGTAGAGTGCTCGCCTTGCATTCAGTAGGTTGTGAGCTCAATCCCTGGCTAAATTATACCAAAGACTTGAATGCTTGAATGTACATGCTGCTTTCTCTGCTTGGCACTCAGCATTTGGGAAAGAGTATGAGAGTTAACACACACCACTACCAGTGGACTAGCCCCCTGCTGTAGTGGCCTGTATGTATGGGAGTTGGGAGTTGAACACACACCACTACCAGTGGACTAGCCCCCTGCTGTAGTGGCCTGTATGTATGGGAGTTGGGAGTTCAACACACACCACTACCAGTGGACTAGCCCCCTGCTGTAGTGGCCTGTGTGTATGGGAGTTGGGAGTTCAACACACACCACTACCAGTGGACGCGCCGCCATATGCGACCATGCTAATGGTTGCGGGGAGGACTGTAACTAACTAACTAACTAACTAATTAGCTTTCTTTTTCATTTTACTACCATGACTGGCACGTAGTCCGCACAGGCTGGGGAGAGTGGTACTGGGAGCAGGGACCCAGTGCCTACCTGGGCACCGACACCAAGGACGTCACCAAGATTCACTTCCCTGGCCTGCATCCAGGGGGCGCTCAGTGGCTCGTGGACAACCGTAAAGTAAAGATGGTCGGCATTGATTGCATGGGCGCGGACACTGGAGATGCTTCTGCCAAGGTGATACGTTTGATAGAGTAAAAACAGCGATTGTAGCTTGAAAACCCAAATCCCCAACAGTTTTATTATATAAAGTAGAACCATGGTTCTACCGGGGTTCTACAGAAGGCATTGGAAGATTCCATTGCTGCATGGGGGTATATGCAGGGGTGATTTATGTGGGTGCGGGATAGGTCCATTTTTGTTACGGGGGGTGTGGTGAAGCCATCTGCAGCATTTGCTCCCGAATATATC